CTTCCTTCCTTCCTTCCTTCCTTCCTTCCTGCTTTCCTTCCGTCTGTTTGTCTGTCCATCCGTCCCTCCTTCTTCCTTCCTTCCGTCTGTCCGTTTGTCCGTCCACCCGTCCATCTGTCCATCTGTCCATGCGTCCATCTGTCCATCTGTCTTCCTTCCTTCCTTCCTTCCTCCCCTTCTTCCTCCCTTTCTGTTATAATACAGTGTATTCTTAGTTTGTTGTCTTAATTAGACAAATTATGCCTCCTTTAGAAAAAGGCAATCATGATGTTTTTTGGTGTCCGTGTTTCAAGGGTTTAAATGTAGGTTTGATAAGGTTTGTTCATTTTGTACACCAGTTGGTTTGATGGCTGAGTGGAAACTCAAACAAAATGCCTCCAATAGCTTTCCACTGAAGCAAATCATAACACTATTCTTATGTACCCTTGTTATATATTGTATTCATAACTATTTTTACATTGTGGCTGAAAAACCCCTATGGGGGAGCTTCAATAAACTGGCATATGTATATGTATGTAGGTATGTAAGTTACCTGTGGATGAGCCGTAAATTAACAAACATATAAAACTGAATTACTGTGCCAAGTTGTACAGAAAAAACAGGAATCTACTGAAGCATTCATGTCTTCTTCTTCTGCTGAAGGATTCCTGTTGGGAAACGTTCCAACTTCGTTAAATTGCAATCCAAAGGCTTTTTTCCTGGAGCAAGAGTGGCACGTGGAAGAGACTGGAAATGGGGGGACCAAGATGGTGGCAATGGACGGGTTGGGACATTGTCTGAGATAACAGCCTGGAGTGAATTGCAGCGGTCTGGGGCGAAAGTCATCTGGAACTTGCTCCGAAGTAACACATATAGAACTGGATATCAGGGCTCGGTATGTTCCAATATTAAAATACATGTATTTAATAATTACTGGACGAGGTCTCATTAGACTCTTAGAAGTGTAATCTTAGAGTCGAGTATATAAATATCCTTTGTTCGGTTCCTCCATCCCTCCATCCCTCCGTTCCTCCGTTCCTCCGTCCCTCCGTCCCTCCGTCCCTGTGTCCCTCCGTCCCTCCGTCCCTCCATCCCCCCATTCCCCCCATTCCACAGACCCTTTGTCTCTTTGCCTCTTCATTATCTTCACTAGTAGCAGACCTCCTGTGCAACCGAAGGCTTGTGAGCAGAGCCCCATACCTAAGAAAATTAGATAACCCATCAATCTCACAAAAATTGGTTGTCACATGACTGGCCGTGCGTAGGTACATATCCGTCCGTACTTCCGTAGGTACATCCATCCATCCATCCATCCATCCATCCTTTATTATCTTTCCCCATGGGGGCTTTTCGAAGACAATATGGTACAATACTACAATTAAATACTACTATGACATCCGTGCATGCGTCCGTACATCCATATGTACATCTGTACTCCAAGCCCTGTACCTTGAAAAATAAGAGAGTAGCACTACTACCATAGCTACATCTTTGATATTGGACATCCATGTTATAATTATTTGACAGCTGTCAAAACAAGGTAACTGCTGACCAGTATCACATGACCATTTGCGGGCTAAGGTCAAGAGCTCATTGAGGTAGCATGTTTTTTTGAAGTTTATAGCTGGCCAGGTACTGGTTTTTTAATTGGTTTGCGGACTCAAGCCAGGTTATTACTCTGGGGGAGAGGGAAGGAGTACATGCAAAGGCAAAATTGCGGCACAAATTAAACCCTGATGCATTGTTTATGTTTCTTCTGACATATTCCTTGTACAATTGTCTTTTGGAAAGTCCCTGATATATTGCGTGCATAATTTCTACAATATTGGGTACTCATTAGGTAATTTGGTTGGTTAAAATGTAACTCAAAAAAATAGTGAAACCACACACTGAACAATCATATATGCTCACAACTGATCATTTTTTGAGTTTCTGATCCAGGGAAAAATATCCTCTTTTCATTTATGGTTTATTATTTAATCAGGAGCTCTGCTTTAAGGCTTGGCTAAATCTATATATTATTTAGAAAACAGCCCTAAGAAAATACATGTGCTGATTGGTTTAAAATCGTGTTTCTATTAAACAATTAGATTATGAGATTTCTATCACACATAGAAATCAAGAGTGAATAATCTAATTGTTTCAGTATAAATCTACTAGTTGTTCAAAAGTTTATCTAAATCCTCATCATAGACACTTTTAAAATGCCAAGAAGCGTAATTTTGTTAACAAGGGCACACTGCTACGCTACTCACTATTTATCACAAAATAGATAGTTAGTAGCGTAGCCAATCAGAGAACGGCATTCATGATAGAACACTAGTAGATTTATACTAAAACTTGATAGAAACACAGAACTAGCATGAGCTGTTGACGTAATGATGGCCTGAGCAAAGAGAATTTACATTTTGATGATCAAAGTAAATGAGCTGTTTTTCTTTTTTCATCGCGGTGTTTTCTAAAAGAAATAGGAAACATGTTCTCCATGTTTCTAGCGAGTTATAGAAACATTTGTGAAAGTTTGGGAGAACTCAAAAAAGTTGTGGAAACACTCGCCTGCAGCTCGTGTTCCCACAGCATTTCTTGTTCTCCCAAATTTCCACTTGTGTTTCTATAACTTGATAGAAACACAGTACATGTTTTCTATTTCTTAAACAAGTTTCCCTAACTAGTATTAACTAGTATATGCTGCCTTGAACACTGTGTTTTACATACCATTACTATAGTCAGATTCTCCTCTGTTCATGCTTTTTTAAGGTGGATCTTAAATGTGTAAATCCGGCGAATGGGCCATCTTATTATCGTGAGTGTTTAGCGAAAGTCGGAGAGAAGCGACAGCTAGCCCAAGCAGATGCCAATCGATTGCGGGTCGGAGACCGCGTGTCTGTGTGTCTTGATGCAGAAGTACTTAAGGCTATGGCACAAGGGCATGGTGGGTGGATCGATGATATGGCACAGGTAAGACAGTTGTGTGTCCCTACCTCCCCTGCCCCTTTTCTTTTTGTCCATGTCTTTCTTTTTTTATTGTCTTTGGTGTTTGCTGCGAATTTTGCAGAAGTCCATACTTAAGAAGACAAAACCTGAAAGGCAATTATCTGGCTGATAATTTTGATTTTGTGTCAGTCTGCAGTTAAACCCAAATTTAATGATGTTCCAAGGGACTGGGAATTTATTTGAGTTCTTTAAAACGTCATGGGTTCGATTCCTGTTGTGGACTCAGATTTTTTCTTTGTCCCACGGTCGTGTCCTTTTGATCAATTCACCTTTCACATTTCATATATTTCCAAGCTTAAAATTCCCCATCTTTATTCACTTATCAAATAGAATCTCTCTTGCAATGTGTCTATTCAGTAATTGATCACAGATAATGTCAAACTGTGGTAAGAACAAAAGTGGAACACTAGGTGATGGTCGAGTGTGCCATTAATGTTCCATTTTGCTGTTCATTGGGTAACTTATTCCATGTGATATTTATTTGGGATTTGTGACCATTTGCAGACCAACTTGATTGGTTTTTTGTTTTGTTTTGTTTTTTTGGTCCATTGTCTATCTCAATGTCGATGTTAATTTGCCCATTTTGCAGTGTATAGGAAAAGTCGGGAAGATCAAGAAAATAGACGCTGATGGTGATGTACACATAAGCTATGGACTCAAAACGTGGGTTTTCCATCCTGACGCCGTGACAAAGGTAATCTGCCGGTGTATTTTTTAATTGCCATTCGCACTGCACACTATATACTGATTAATACAGCTACTTACACTACTTAAATACTTGTTATTATATAAACACTAGTTAGTGAAATACCAGGATACTTTCCTGTTACTAAAAAATCATATCTTTATCGCGCACAGTGAGGATACTGTTTCTATCTTTCACACTGTGAAGATATCATTCCTTTTTGTTAACATTTTTCTTTTGTCCCCTAACTACGCTTAAATTTGTTGATATATGATCGAAACATCTTCGGATCTTCTTCGGTCGTCTTCGGCAATCCTCGGAAAATGTTCGAAAGCGTTCGTCTGGCCTACGGAACAATTTTGGAAAATCTTCGGAAATCTTCGAAAAGTGGTCGGAAATCCTTGGAAAATTCTCAATATCTCACTCGTTGGCTGCGTTCACTCGTGAGATATTGAGTTCAACACTCGAAGATAAAATTTGCATCCACGCGCGGGAATGTAATATCTTCTATTTATACAATATGATTTCTTACGTCTCTTACAATACTAAATAAATATTTACACTACTTACACTACTTACAATACTAAAACTTGCACTTCAATACGATAACTTTAAAACTACTTACAATACTTAAATACTTACACTAATTGCAATGCTTGTAATGGGAAGCGAATCTTGTTTCCCCTGAGTGTTTGATTTTTCTCTCGGGGATGTTTTAGGCGGTTATACCGGTGAATCTGCCAATTGGAGAGACATTGTGCAGCGGTTATACAAACGCCTTTGACAACGAGAAATAACTTGGAGAGAGATGGCTTTGCACGCTTAATTCTTTCCCGTTCTCGAATTTTGTCTGAGAGTGAAAAAGAAAAAAATGCATCCTGTCTAATGAGAAAGCTGCACGAAGATCTGCAGTCTCCCAGACTACCTACAGTCTCTTAGATACGAGAGTATTATATCAACACGAAAGGCCGTGTTTGATCACATTTCCAAACAACAAGAAGAGAGCTGAAAATAGGACGTGTAGCGGAGTATTTTTGACAAACTTCGAGGTATTTGGAAATGTGGTCAAACACTGTCTTGAGTGTTTGATATGTCTCCTCAATCGAAACTAAAATGAAAGAGATGATGGAGAAATAAAGTCATAAAATTCCATGCTAATTAAGATCAGATATTCAAACAACGTCACAGTCATGATTTTATGATGAGTTATTATTGAGTTTGAGAATATCTGCTCGAGTCTGCAGTTAATTTATTCTCTTGTCTCCCAGTTGCCAAGTTTTCAGGCGGGAGACAAAGTGAGAGTGTTAAGCGACAAGCAACGTGTTCAGAATTTACAGCAAGGACATGGCGGCTGGAATGAGTCAATGACAGCGGTAAGAAATTTTTACTTGGACTTTTTAGAGTATATAATTAAATATTTTTCATCGTTCTAAGAAAAACTATGTTCAGTTGACTTTTATTCACCTCCCCAGCTCGAGATTTCTATATATTCATACACGTGTAGTGTGAATTTCCTTTTTGTTTGCAAAACCTTGCATGTGATAACGAGTTTTAATTGCATAAAATCGAACACCGCTGGTTAAAAAAGATTTTTTTTTCGATGATTTTTTTCACCTAGCCTCGTTTGAAACAGGCAAAGATCTAGTCACGAGTATCTTATTACTTTTTATATTGTTTACGTCACTGCATCTGTCTCTCTGTTGCAATCATGTCATTACATTAACGCATGAATTCCAATCAGCCTAATGGTTAGTGCGCTCGTCTCAGGATCGGCGGTCAAGGTTCAAGCCCTGGCCGGGGACATTGCGCTGTGTTCTTGGGCAAGTCGTTTTTCTTACACAGGGCCTCTATCCACCCAGGTGTATGACTGGACACCAACAAATTCAATGCTTGTGGGTAACCCCGCGAAGGAGTAGCAACCCATCCAGGGGAGGGGAGGGGAGTAGAAATACTCCTTAGTCGCTTCATGCCACATAAATCGGAGAGAACCCAACTTCTAGTCGCTTCATGCTAATGAAAGAAGAGCTAAGAACTGCTAGGTTTCAACGCAGACTTAACCTTTACCTATGAATTGCAAGTGATAAAAAATTGTTTTACTCAGGCATTAGGAAAACAGGGAAAAATCCTGGAAGTGGATGGCGATGGTGATGTTGTTGTTGTGGTGGGAACGGACCTTTGGCTTTTTAACCCGGCAGCGCTGGAGGACATGTCTGGTGGCGAGGCAACAGCTCGACATGGCGAAACCTCACCGACTTCCCCAAGTAAGAAACTGATGTAAAGAAGTGGTTGTTGCTCGTTGTGGCTGCTCACAGCTAGTTTTGCAGTTCTCACCTCTTCAAAGTGATAAGTTCACTCCCATATTTCTATAGAGAACATAAGTCAAAGCATCTTCGGAGACCCAGGGGCTAGCAGCCGGGACAATGCGATATTTTCGGACGAGCGATATTTTCGGCGCAAGAGTTTACTTCAAGAGCTGAAGGGGGTTCTTCAGCTCTTGAAGTAAACTTTCGCGCCGAGAATATCGCTCGCCCGAAAATATCGCATCGTCCCGGCTAGTAGCCCTTGGGTCTCCGAGGATGAAGTCAAAATTGTTATTTGTGATTGGTATCTACAGCTGAACCGTTAGACGACCTTCTTAAAATGTTGCTATTGGGAGCTGCTATAAGAGGCGGCGGAGGTGATCCCGGCGACAGATTAGTGAACGCGTCATCAAATGGTAACCTGCAGGACGTCCGCGAGATCCTGGAGGCGAATCCTGACAAGGTGGGGCTGCTCTTAACATGCTAGATCATTGAGAATTGCAAAAAAAAAAAAAAAAGAAAAAAAAAAGAAAACGGAGGTTTTACTTACCAGTGGTTGAAATCTTAAAAATTTGAGCTAAGTATTAGTTTGAAAAAAAAACAACAACAACAAGCGATGGAGACTCTAACATAAGCCTTAAGCTTATTAAGAGACCAGTGTTATTCGTATTCGTAGTACTGGACTAACACGAGCCTGGAGTGAAGGCTCACGCGGGGAAATATCATTGAAAAGAGATACATGTAAATGCTATTTGCATTTGAAAAGACTTTCCGCACTAGCCTCAATTGCAAGCTAGTTCCAGTCCAATACCGAGTATCCGAATATGGTCTATTGTACAGCCCGGCCTTTATAAAGATAAAAGGTGTAACAGTGTTGCGACGTTTTTCTTTTCTGTGTAGATTAATCATAAACGAGGAGGGAAGACAGCACTTCATGTAGCCTGTCACCAAGGTCGCACGGAAATTGCCAAGTTCCTGATAAGCAAGGGTGCCAATAAAGACATTAAGGTTAGAGTAAAAGGAAGTTAAGAAGTGATAAATATTTACCATGAGGGTTTATTTTTAGTTTTTGTTTTTATATTTTTCGTTAATAAACTAGAAGGTTGCGTTAAACTTGACTTTGTCTACCATGCTAAGGAAAACTTGTCAACGTTTGACTATCTTAATGCGAAGTCCGTTACGAAGACATTCAATTGAAAATATGGATTTAAGAAAAAACAAAGAACCTACAATCGTGGACAAAAATCCTTGGGACACTTATGTAATGTAACGGATTACCTGTGTTTTAGAACTGAAGTATGAAGAAAACGCTGCTATATCCTTTATAAACGGGTTGCTGTCCCCCCTTCTCACCCAATACAATGTTGAAAATCAGTTGAAATTGCATGTACTAGTTTTCAACATTGTATGGGGGGTGGGGGGCGAGGTTAGGCAGGTGAAGTTGTATTCGCGCCTGGCGTGTACGCAAAAGCGTCAAAAGTGCAAATTTGTCCCAAGACTTCTGTCGATGATTGTAGCTATAGACAAGCATCTCATCTCAGGGAGAAACAGAAAGACTCTTAGACAGGCAGCGTGACCGAGTTGTTAGGGCGCCGTACTTGAGATCCGAAGGTCGCGGGTTCAAGTCCCGCTTTGACCATTTAGCTGGAGTTGTTTCTTTGTAGACCCTAGTTCAACTTCTCGGTCATGCTTGTAAATAGCCACCTGGTCCGCCACCCGCCAGTTGGGATTTTTAAGCCCATTATGTCTAGTTGATATGTTTGTCTCTTTCAGTTCAAGTGGCATGCCTGTGAACTAGCTAGGTGTAGCTATTTAAGGAACATTGACCACTATAAACAAAAACTTTTGAACAACTGAACATTTGAACGCTTACTGCTATGCCGGAACACTTAACCCGGCTTGCAGACTTTTTACCTCTCGCTTCATAAAATACTTAATATCTTACTCTGATGTGTGTAATTTATTAATTGTATTTATCGTTATTGGATCATTATTAGGATGAGCAGGACTATTCCGCATTACACCATGCAGCTTACGGGTAAGAGTGCACCTGTTGTATAGATTTTCATTCATCTTATTAAATCAGATGGGTGCGCTAATACCTTTTGAAGGCGGATTTGTGTTAGGTTCCTCTTTTACGAGCTCGCCTTTTTTCCTTGATTTTGAGACAGGTACAGTGGAACCCCGGTTTAACGATATGCCTAGGGATATCGTTATAGCCGAATTCCCGGTATAACTATATTGTGGGAAAATTTCTAAAAATATCGCTATACCGGGATAAAGCTGTTAATCGCCTTTTTACTGCACGTTATCTAATAAATTTGTAATTGATCATCAAATGAATTACAACATCCAGAGTATTCTTCAATGTCTTTAAAACATGTCAAAAACAGTTTGTACAGCTCATAAGGTGTTCGTTACCAAAGATACAGAATGTTTTTGGTTTTATCGTTATAACCGGAATTGTTATATCTCTCAGTTAGTACGCGCGCTGTGATTGGTCAATTTAGCGGGCCGTACTCTCCTGTACGGCCCGCTAAAATTTAAAGTTGATTTTGTTGCCAAACTGTTTCGTTATTTATCGATAAGTGTTCTTAACTTTTATAGCAAGTGAAAGTTTAAAACTTTTTTATAATCTAAATTATGTAATAAAGCGTGCTAACGACCTAAAAACAGTTTCAAACTGACTCGTTTTGCTTTCGAGATTCGTCAGAAATTTGAAGCCTTTCCGAGTCTGCGTGAATAGAAATGGTTTCCGAACCCGTCAGGCAATATATAATAAATATCTTACTAACCTCGTCTTCTCGGTCCGTACTGTAAGTTACGGATCCTCGTTTTTTCCCCCTTCGATTTATGACCCGCGCGCTTCGCGCTTGGGCCATAAATCGAAGGAGAAAAAACTCGGTCCGTAACTTACAGTACGGACCTCGAACTCAGTTAGTAAGAGGTATATAAAACTGTGCCCAAGGTCTTGAGTACGGCCCGGCACGGTGTATTGAAAACCTTGAAAAGCTGCCAAAGTTGGAAATTTGGGAGCGGTCCGTATACACAAGGTCCTGATGGGAAAATCTGGACCGCTCAGTGGAACGTGCGGCATCAGCCAATCGGATTCAAGGATTTAGGATTACGGACCGTTAAGAAGCTGGAGAAAAAAAATATTAAAGTCGATGGTATAGTTTTGTAAGGTGACCGTGAGACACTATCGTAACACTTCTTTTTGCTATGTGGTTGTTTATTTTGTTATATTTATTTATTTAGTTTTATTCTTTTTAACTTGGGAAAAGGTCTGCACGTGAGATATTGACTAAGTAAACTTGTAATGATAACAAACCGTGATAGACTTCAGTTGTTAACTTGAACTCCATTTGGTGTTTAGTGACAGAAGCGGAGAGACTGTTACAGTCATGTTGAACACGGGCACTAACGTCAATGTCTGCGACAACAAGAACAAAAGCACGCCGCTACACTTGGCTGTCAATCAAGGCAACGATGCTGGTGTCAAGGCGTTATTGGCGTCACGTCACTGTGATGTCAATTGTCAGGTACTAGATGTTAAGGAAGCGTCCACAGTATGCCGGAGAAATTTGAAAACGCAGTGTTATTGCACTGGTTAGGCCTACCGTCCACCCTGATCCGTCAAGGCAACATAGCTTTTCTAAAATAATCTTCAAACCGGAGGAATTTGAAAACGCCGGCTTTTTGTTTCCGTGTGGACGGAGAACATTTTGAAAACGGAATTTTTCGAAAACGATCGCGTTACGATAATCGTGTGATTTCCCTGACCGGGTATTCCTGAAACACAAATCCAAAATGACCGGTTATCATTGCATTTTTAAATTTCTCCAGCGTAGTGTGAACGGAAAGCATTCTATGAGTTTTCAGAGTGAAATTTCCGGGTTTTTTTTATTCCTCCGGCGTAGGGTCAACGGGACCCAAGATGACTCGTTCAGATGTGTCTTTATGTTGGCTTTTTATTTCTCGTTAACACTTTTCCTTCGAACAAAGATCACTCTATTGCAATTGCTGCATCTTTGGCAAGAACCTGTAATTACCAAGCAGTTGAAAAAGTGGTGGTCGACCTTTTGTAGTAAATACTCTGCGAGGTAATTGTCCAAATGTTTTCTAATATAATTAGCATGATCAGAATCTTCTCTAACGCGGACCAGGCTGCATCACTGCTTAGGGTTTGCTATGAAGAAACATCGCAGGTCTTTCCTCATAGAAAAAAGTTTAGCCTAAGTGATTCCAAATCGGTCCGTTTTTGCCACAAAAATAAGAGACATTTAGAGGGTTTTTTCGAGGTGTTATTTAGAAAACTGTTTGTGATATTTAGAATTTTTTGAGAATTCCGGAAATACATTTAAGCGATTTTACGTGATATTTGTGGAAAGGCCTGGAACAGCGTGTGCATATTTTATGTACTATATCAAACGCGAGAGACAGTGTTTCATCGGGATAGCCAAACACCGAGAAGAAAGTTGAAAATACCACGGCAGCGAAGTATTTTTGACGAAATTCGAGGTGTTTGGATGGCCGATGAAACACTGTCTCAAGTTTTTTGATATATCTTCTCAATCGAAACAAACTAAAAATGAGCGATAGAAATTTTACACAACGTTTCGATGTCGTCATGACATCATTATCAAGTGACAAGAAAATAACGGTTCAACAGTGTAATATATGCGGTGAGAGGTGTGATTGTAAAATCACACCTCTCACCGCATATATAACACTGTTGAACCGTTATTTTCTTGTCACTTGATAATGATGTCATGACGACATCGAAACGTTGTGTAAAATTTCTATCGCTCATTTTTATTTTGAAATGTTTATCGAAATTTAATCTCATTCGAAAATCGAGACGAAAACTAAGGAAAAAACGGAGAAATAAAATCGTAAAAATGTATGGTAACTAAGATGAGATATCCAAACACTGCCACGGTCATGACGTTCTTTGTTTCAACTGGACGAGTTATTAATGATTTTGAGAACGTTATTTCATACACAAAGTATGCTCAATCCTGTCTCTTTATTTCATTTTTAAGGATCTCGCTGGAGACACCCCTTTGCATGACGCAATCTCAAAAGACAAAAACAGCATTGTGGACCTCATTGTCGGTTCTCAAAACCTTGATGTGACTGTCTGCAACGGCAGAGGATTCAACCCACTCCATCAGGCTTCTATGAAAGGAAACAAACAGTAAGTGTCTGTCACCTTATTCAGGATTTAACCCATTCAATCAGGCTTGTATGAAAGGGAACAAACAGTGAGTGTCTCATCTTAGTCAGGCGTTAACCCACTCCATCAGGCTTGTATGAAAGGGAACAAAGAGTGAGTGTCTGTCACCTTAGTCAGGATTTAACCCACTCCATCAGGCTTGTATGAAAGAGAACAAGCAGTGTCTGTCACGCTCGCTGCGCTTCTAATTGTTGGAGTCGGGTTTGAGACCAGAGAAGAATCATTGAGAAGGCTTTATATTACTCTCACAGTGACCACCCAGCAAGTAAAACTATGATTTGGTGAAATTACTGCAGGGTAGCTTGACAAACAGCGAGGGAAGTAACAAAGTGTTTAAGACAAATTGTTCAACAAGTCGGCGTCGGAGAAAGATTTCATGTTTTTTTTGTTTTTTTGTTTTTGTTTTTTTACTCCAATAACGTAAACTTGTAACTGATATCGTTCGATCTGAGTCACAGAGGAAACGACCTTTTAACGGGCTCAAAGTAAACCACATCCTGCATCCTTTGGCCATAACTTAAGAAATGTTCGCTTATTTGCGCTAATTTGTTTGTTGAAATAAAAAGCTTATCTAAAAAGTCTGAATTGATCAATCTTTTCCCTCTGAAGAAATTTGGTGTTGGTCATGGTTTGATAGTTTAATTTTGTTTACCTTTTGTTGCCATTTCAGTGCCGTAGAGAAAATCGCTGGTAAATTTCCTGGTCTTATTGAGATTGCCAAGGAAGATGGTTTCACCCCTCTTCACCTGGCTGCATTCAACAACCACACGGAAATAGCGAAATCTCTTCTCTTATCGGTATGTGAGTAATAAATTTAAAGTACGGTCAGTTTTTGTTTTGTTTAAGAATGTGTTGGTATAGCAACCCTCGCTAAATGATTCAATTCTTTGATTGAAGCGAGTGAAACATATTGTACCTGTTTGTTAGCGTTATTTGACAACACAACTTGCGCTTGAGCTCGCAAGATTCCCTGGAACCTGCACAGCTTATCGTGTAGTGGTGGTAAGCTCACATGGACTGGTTGCCCTTGAGCGAGGGTGCTTGTAGGGCGACTTGTGAGTTCATAAATACAAACAAACGTATTGTACCTGTTTGTCAGCTTTGACAACACAACTTGCGCTTGAGCTCGCAAGATTGCCTAGAACCTGCGCAGTTTCTCGTGTAGGGGTGGTAGGCTCACATGCACTGGTTGCCCATTGATTGAGGGTGCTCGTAGGGTGGCTTGTGAGTTCATAAATACAGTCCAATTTGAATGATGCGAGGTGACTTTCTCATCACATTCCCCTCGCTTTACTTGTTTAAAACGCAGGGACATTGTGACATCAACCTACGGAACAACAAGCGTCAAACCCCCCTGGCTCTTGCAGTATCGGAAGCGTACACTGGGATGATCGAGTTGTTAATTGAACATGGTGCTAATGTGAATGCTGATGACGAGGACGGTGACACTCCACTTCACCTGGCTGTCATTCATCATGCCGTGGGTAGCACGGGCTTAAGAGGGGTGAGGGCAGTTAGAATATTGATTAGTGGTCTCATAAACTGGCTCACTCACTGACTGGCCGGCTGACTGGCCGACTGGCCGCCTGCTGGCGGGCTGGGTGGCAGGCGGGCACGCGGGCTGACTGAATGACTGAGATGAGTGGACGGACAGAGAGGCAGACATTGATAGACGGATGGATGGACCAACTGAATGACCTACAGATGGATGGCCGGGCTGATTGACTGTCTGTCAGACAGATGGACGGATTGATGTTCTGACCTACCAACTGACTGACTAACTGACTGACTGACCGACCGACCGACCGACCGACCGACCGACCGACCGACCGACTGTTTGTTTGTTTGGTTGGTTGTCTTTTTTGTTTTTCTTCGTCTTCTTGCTTATCCTCGTCGTCTTGTTTGTTGTTGTAGTTGTTATTGTTGTTTTTGCTGCTGTCATTTTGGTTTCTTGTTTTACTTTTGATTTGCGTAATGCTCCTGTGCGGTTTTAAACACTGTGTCGACACAACTTATCATCTCTCTATGAATGTAGTAGTAAAGGTCTACACTGCATATTCTTTTAATCAATTATTTTCAAATCATTTCAGCTACTTCAAGGCTTAGGACTCAATGTCCCAGCGGGTGACAGAGATCAGCACACGGGGTCTGCCATAGCTGTCTATTTAGCCCTTCACGGAGCGGACATCAACTTTTACAATCATGAGGGAAAGACTCCATTGGACCTGTGTACAGACGCCCAGACTGCTAACTTAATAAAACAATTTGCGAGGAGCGTTCCAAGGTAGGGAGGGGGCTCATTTAAGCCAAGAGCCTTTTTAATGAGTAGAGTTTAAGTTTAAGTTTAATAATACTCTGTCACGCTAGTACAAGTAAATAAATCACAGAAGTAAATAAATCACAGACTGAGGTAGAGGTAAAAGGGTGAAGTCTTAAAACGAGCCAAGTGGCCCATCAGGCGTGAGGTTATCTCCGGTTTATGTGGCATAAAGCCACAGGGATTATTTCTACTCCCCCCTGGATGGGTTGCTAGTACATCATAGTGTCACTCCCAGCATTAAATTCGCCGGTACCCTTTCATCCACCTTGGTAGCGAGAGGCACTGCAAGGGTAAAGTGTCTTTCCCAAGAACACAGCATTTTAATGAGTAGAGGAACCCATTAATTTTCTGGACTCTACGCAACAGCTTTCATTCACTTGTCCCCTATTACTTCGTCTGGTTCTGTTCCTTATTTCCTTCCTCCCTTCTCTTCTTGGTTAAAATTAACGCTTGTTTATGTCTCCGTCCTTCCGGTCAATAATTAATTTCACGTGTTTTTATCAAGTATGATGGCCTATACTCTTCTATTTTTGTAGCAGACAGACCGCTCCTGAACGTCAATCGACTTTTACCCAACCTCGACCCCAGCCTGTGCTGGCAAAATCAGTTCCTCGACCGCCTGTGGCCGCGAGGAGGCCTGTGCCTGTGCCTAGATCATTGGCGGCGACATCAGGGGCAGCCACATCAGGGGCGGCCACATCAGGGGCGGCCGCAGCAGGAGTAAGGAAGTCTTTTTTTGTTTGTGTGTGTCGTTTTGTTTTATTTTGTTTGTTTTGCTGTATAGAGAAATCCACATAGAGGACTATCTTTACTGACGTGAACGTGATAAAAAAATGTAACGGCGTAAAAAAAAAAAAAAAAGAAAAAAAGAAAAAAAATCATCATACTGGCCGAATAATTTCCTGTCTACCCTGGATGCAAATGTCTACATTGACTTTGTTTCGCTTACTGACCTTCCATGCAATAAGCCTATAGTATTTTCTGTTGAGTTTTGATAACGTATTTGCGTGGTTTTATTTGCTTGTTTGTTTGTTTGTTTTGGTTACATTTCTCCGTTTAATCGTGCAGTTCTTCATTTCATCATTTCACTGTTTTCACTTTTCCATTTGCTATTATAATAGCGGTCTAGAAGTGCTGCACCCATTCAGAAAAAGACTCAAGATGCCGTGAATCGAGCTGATGCTGCAGGCGTTGACTGCATTATATGTTGTGAGAATATTGCGACTGTTACTTTTCAGCCGTGCGGTCACAAAATAACTTGTACAGGTAACGCTCGCGTGTCTGTCGGACTGTCTGTCTGTCTGTCTGTCTGTCTTTTTGCCCGTCTATGTGCCGGCCTGCTTGATTTCCTAATTGTCTGTTGTTCGTCTGTCTGTCTGTCTGTCTGTCTGTATGTTTGTCTGTCCGTCCATCCGTCTGTCTGTCTGTCTCCCTGCCTGCTTGTCTGTCTGTCTGTCCGTCCTTTTCTCTTTCTGTCTGTCTGTTCGTCCGTCCGTCCGTCTGTCTGTCTGTCTGTCTGTCTGTCTGTCCGTCTATCGGTCTGTCTGTCCGTCTGTCGGTCTGTCTGTCCGCTTTTTGTCTATCTGTCTGTCTGTCTGTCTGTCTGTTTGTCATATGGTCCCGTTATTTCCCTTACGTAAACTCAGGAGGTTGTCGTCGCGCTTGTTCTGTTTAAAGAGGTACGAAATTAGATTTTTTTCATTCTGTTCTTCCCTGTAGTTTGCAAATACGTGTGTTACAGAAACTCTCGAAGACTTTGCGTGCTCATTGGCTAATCATAGCCAGAAAGAGTGCAGACGCATAGATGGATCGCGTGGATCTTGGAAATTTCGCCAAACTTTTTACAGCATGTGTAGTGTTGTCAGTTCACGAAATAAGCGCCGGCCAAACGTCTCTTTTAAGATAATCTTGTATCATGTTTATTGAATTTGCGAAAAAGAAATTGTTTCACTATGATTGATGTTTTTATTTTATGACACCCAATGTTTTTCGCGCGTACAATTATTTTTCGAAATATTGTGATTTCATGATCGGACTAATGAGCTGTTTACCTGTTTGCACAGATTAAGGCAATCAAAGCATGAAGCAGTCAAGGAGATTTGTTATTCATAGTGAAAAAGGCTTTTTTGAATCGTTTATTACCGGAATGTTTTCAAGAAACACACTTAGCTCTTCTTGTTAATTTGTCTCACAGGGTGCTCTCTCAAAGCGAAGCGTTGTCTTTCATGTAATAAAGGCATTCAACAGAAAATCGCAGCAGGTAAGTAAGGGCCGACCTGCACCGTTTTATAAGGGTCTTCGTGATTGGCCAAACGAAACAATAGGTATACAACACAAACAATGCCCCTAGCCCTAAAAGCAAAAGAGGTGCAGATTAACAAGAACGAATCAAAATAGAAGTTTTAAAGAGGTGCTGGTCATTTGGTAAGTAAACATGAAATCTATTTAAAACTTTATAGCCCGCTCCCAGCTCATCTTGTGTTTAAATGGAGATCCAAGCGACTCTTCTCATGTTTTAGTCAGGCTTTGGTTTCGTATTTAGAGAGTTTGTATAGATTGAAGATCATAGCTCCACTCCTCCCTTCACATCCGGGCTTGGGGCTGGCCATTGCTGAGTATTCTGGGTCATATGACTTAAGTGCCTCATTTTGGTTTTAGTGTTCTCTGGTTCAATATTTCTATTAGGCGTTGTTTTTCGGTTCTTTAGGCAGTGCTATTTTCTTTTTTTCCCCTTACATTTATTCATCTCGAACTCCTAAATACAATACTCTGTGGTCAGTTCATACACAGACTTAAAAATTTAGCCAAGTTGCACAGTACCACATGAAAGTGCTGCTCAATAGCTTTCCTTTGAATGGTGACACACTAGGGTTTCATCCACAGACTTAAAAGTTAGAACCACTTTGTACAGCATAATAAACAGTACCACATGAAAGTACTGCTCAATAGCTGTTATTGGAATGGTCACACACTAGGATTTCACTCACAGACTTAAAAGTTAGAACCACCCTGTACAACATAATAAACAGTACCACATGAAAGTGTTGGTCAATAACTTCCATTTGAATGGTCACATACTAGGGTTTTATCCACAGACTTACAAGTTAGAACCACGTTTTACAGCATAATAAACAGTACCATATCAAAGTACTGCTTAGTAGCTTTCATTTGAATGGTCACACACTAGGGTCTCATCCACAGACTTACAAGTTAGAACCGCCTTGTACAGCACAATAAACAGTACCACATGAAAGAACTGCTCGATAACTTCCATTTGAAGTGTGTTGGTCACACACTAGGGTTTCATCCACAGACTTTAAAAATAGAATCACCTTGTTCCATTTAATAAACAGTACCACGGGAAAGTGCAGCTCAATTATTTTTATTTGAATGGTCACACACTAAGGTTTCATCCACAGACTTAAAAAAATGGAAGTACCTTGTGCCATTTAATAAGCAATACCACGTGAAAGTACTGCTCAATAGCTTTCATTTGCACGGGCACATCCTCGTTTTTCAACTAACAATCAAGTTTTGATTCTGGAGATGCAGAGGTTGAGAGCCTTAAAATTCATTTAAAGTTCTACTTGCACTACTTTGCAGAGGGAGCCCCGATCAATGCTCCAACCTTGATGGACGCGACAGATTACAACGAGCGAGTGCGTTCACTGGAAGAACGTTTACGAGTCATGGAAGAAGACAGGCAGTGCCAGATATGTATGGAGCGAGACAAAAATATGGTATTTTTATGCGGCCATGGCGCGTGCAGGGAATGCTCTGAAAGACTGCAAATTTGTCATGTTTGCAGGGAAGCCATTCAGAATAAAATTCAAATGTTTGGTTTGTAGATTAGTGAAGTTTTTTTTTTTTTGTTTTTTTTTACAAGGATATTATCTTTAACACATGATATGAAATTCCGTTTTTCATGTCGTACTGGGAACTTCCAGTTTAGATTCTGCTAGATAATGAAGTGTGTTAAGGCAGAACGCTAGAATAGCGTAATGGCTGGTTAACAGCGTAGGTTGGTATAATTGCAAGGTAGCTCATGGACACGTTCACACTAGCGACGAAGACACAAGTATAAATTGTATTACGTTTGTGTTAGACTAGCGAGCCTAACAAAGACCCGCCAAGATAGCTTAAAACCAAGTTTACACTTATAACTACTAGCTTGAGTGTAAGTGTAACCACAGGAACTTAAAAACCCAAGCGAAATTAGGGTACGGTATTTAAGAAAATTTGAACCTGGTTTTTGCGCTGGCGTTTGGGAATGATTAATTAGCGTTTATCTGTTATAAAACTTAGCTTCATGTAGGAAAAGATCCCCGCTTTTAATGCACTGCACCTTGGTTGGCTTATTTTGAAAATTTTAAACTGAAGTTTTCAAAGTCCTCGTCCAAAAGTCATTACATGATCACCCTTGTTTTGTTGCATTTGCTAGCCTTTTGTTTTGGGGTTATTGCTCTGTTTGCTCAACGAGATGTTTGAAAAAAAAATCACCAACGGGAATGTCGTCATTTGCTGAAAGATTGATGGCTTCATTGGAACAGACGATAGAGCGTAATGTGTTAAGTAAAGAATAGAAGAGGCTTGTAGATTGCGCAATGCGAATTACTCGTGTACTTAGTATAGGAGACATGAGTTAGATAAAGAGCTGATGGTTCAGCTCTAAAAGTACTCCAATAAACAAGAATTGAAACTACCAGTTTGTTCGTTAATGTGCTGTTAATTTCCGAAACATTGTTTTCTTTTGTAAATTATTTTCAGTTAAAACTATTGGTTGTCCTTTTACGCCCAGTTGTTCAACAGAAGATCTTAAGGTCATTCCCCAGTATTGCACTGCGCATCCCTACTGCGCATAATTTCACGCGTGTTTAGCGCGCGCGCATTAAAAAATGGCGGCTTTTTCTNAAGCAATCGTCGGAAACGTGAATTTAGCAAGCAATCGTAACTATAATCATGGTGCTATTATAAGGATTTATATGGGTATAAACAAGGTGCTTTTGCTCCTAAACGAACATGGGGACCTCTTATCTTTATTTCAAAATTTAAGTTCCTATAATATAAACAATCGATAGGCAAACTTTCACAAAAATCTCAGTGCAGGCTCTATTTCAGCGGAATGACCTTAATTGTTCGTCCTTAAACCTAAACGGATTTCTTGTTTCACTCCACGGAGCCTAGAGATCAAGTTATAATTTGAATATATCGAAATGGGCTTATTTGTTAGGTAACGCACATAATAAGGGATAAACCAATCAAACTTGCTAGCTAATGAAGTAATCACCTACTAACCGAGAAGATAAACTCTGCCAGTTTACTCGCAGGCGAATTCTCTGCAGCATAATTTATTAGCACAAATCGTTTGGCGCTGGGTCAAAGTTTGTTAATTATTCTGTTTTTTGGACAGAGAAGCTTTACCAGATTAAAAAAAAAAAAANCCCGATGAATCTTTCAACCTGTATAGAACTAGCATCCCATCCAGGGGGGAGTAGAAATACTTCCGGCCAATTTACTGTTGGGGACAACACTGCGATGAACTAGCATCCCATCCAGGGGGGGGGGGGGGGTGGAAAAAAAAAAAAAAAAAAAAAATCATGCTAACGGGTACGTGTGCGTTTCTCTTTTTCTGCTGATAAACATGTCAAACAGGTTTTTCACCAAATGGGACTCCGAGAAGCAAAGGTGTCCAAAAACAAAATTCACGTGCCATGTTTGTGACTGCTGAGTATTCTTTCTTTATTTCCTTCTTTATGTTCTTAAAACATTTTCAAAAATGGCTTTAACCTTCGAACTTGTTTGGTAGCCGTAATCCATTGTTAACAAGGTTTACTTTCTTTCTATTTTGTTTCTTGAAGTTTTGTTACTGGTATGATTAAGCGGTAACAGATCTTTCTGCTCTTGTTTTATTTTATCTTATTTTATTTATTTATTTTTATTACAAGCCGAAATGGGCTCCACTCAGTCATCATTGTTATGTTGTTCCCTTATGTGTCGGAGAATAGTTTGTTTGTAAAGAAAAATTACTGCATGTTGCTCATCTTTGGAAATATGTCTACCTTGACTCATTGCACATCGGCTGGACCTGTTTTTGTTTTTTCCTTGCTCCGTGATTTAGGATGTTAGTTTTACTAACAGCCTTCCTTCTAGCAGTTTTCAGTTTAATTTTCCCTAATAGAAGACCTCAGCTTCGTCGTAATATTGAAAGCCTTTCTTTCTTACAACACTTTCAGGATGACTTGTAGCCTTTACTGTATTAAGTTCACATAGTTTAGATCCAGGACTATCCGAGTACTCCACTGCAAATGATGCGCATGCGCTGCGCTGACCACACTTGAGCCCACACTCCACTGCGCTGGCAACCTTTGTCCGAAGGAGCGAAAATCCTGCTATGGCCATGTCTCTGCCAGATTCTGGTGCCTTGAAGAAGTTTGACTTTACTATTAGGAATCAAGGGGAAAATTATATCAATGTCATAGCAGAGAGAAGATCTGAAAGGAATTATTTGGCTCAAAAATCACACTTCTGAAATTTTATTGACAATTTTTGCAGCTGCGCTATAAAAAAAACATTTCACTGCTCAGCACAAAAATTCTATCGTTTGTTACGTCTCGTCTCGTCTCGTCTCGGCTCGGCTCAGCTCGGCTCGGCTCGGCTCGGCTCGGCTCGGCTCGCCTCGGCTCGGCTCAGCTCGGCTCATCTCGTCTCGTCTCGTCTCGTTTCGTTTCGTTTTGTTTTTGTTTTTACGTCGGATTGCCCGAACAGTATAGCCTTGCTCTTAAGCATACGTTTGCAGCGAAGTAGAAGTTCATTTGCCGTGGCCCGTACACAGACTTAACTAAGGTCTGGAAGAGGCTCCATCTTAGTTCACAAGGTACGCAATGAAGAGCTAATAACCTACCTTCGGTACATGGAGCAACAAGGCTGTGCCGACAGTAAACCTCAGTGTCCCCTTTATTGTCTGCAGACCAAATCCAAACAGCTTTCTCGTCGATGCTTGGTATTCTTCCCCAAGGTAATGTTGACTTGTTGTTGGGTCCATAAGGCAAGGCCATTGGCCAATCATCATCTCGGTACTTTCTCATATTCCATCCGTATCTGGCCGTGGTGATGCACTTCCAAGAGGTGTCGGTGACCAGTCCGTTTTCAAACGATCCCAAAATACCTCCCTCCCATGGTGGGGCGGAAGCTTTGCAACTTAGAGCTACCACGTGACTTCTTGGCATTATCTGGTACACAAAGAAACCTTTGCTCGTAACATTTGTTGCACCGCCACCCAAAAGCTTGCCGTCCACGTACAATTCCAAGTAACTGTCGCAGGTTATATTGACTCCAATTGCCGAGGACGTGCCTTTACAAAGAAGATAAATAGAAAAAATGGCAGAAATGTCTTGGTTACTGCTAAAGAAATCTAACAGATTTCCGTTGCTTATATACAATGGAACTAGTTTTGCGCCATTGGGAATCCATGAATTTGTTTGCCATGCTATCGTTCACTATTCGTATATCATTCAATGTTCTTTAGACGCTTGTCTTAGGTTAATCCAAGATCGGATTGATTCAGTTACGTTTTGTGATGGTAGCGTAATTTGCCAGGAATATGTACTAAGTTATTGTTGTTCACGGTTGCTGTTGCTTTTTTTTTCTTTTTTCGCAGTTGCACTTGCTGTTGCTGGTGTTATTGTTGTTGTTGCTGCTGCTGTTGCTGTTGTTGTTGTTGTTGTTGTTATTGTTGTTGTTGCTGCTGCTGCTGTTGTTGGAATTTACCTGCAGCATTTGATATTGTGTCTTGTTGGACTAATTGATTAACGTCTTGCAAGTTTTTATAGAATATTTTACTGAACTGAATAAGCATAATATGTTTGGACCACTAAGAAAACACAAAATTCTTATTCAATCGCGATCGCGGAAGCCCAAACTGTCGAGTGTGTCCTCAGTTTAATGTCCATAACATACACCATAAGAATACCTTGAACGTCGATAAAGATACTCGCTTTTATGTCATGCCATAGAAAATATAGCCAATCAAAATACAGAAATTCATTGTATATTGGATTTATTACACCCATCCTTCCCATTGTGCGCTGTAATGACTGTGTTAATATATTTTCTATGGCATGGTATAAAATAGTTAAAAGGCTCGTGTGTATAGCGAGAAAATACAAGTGACTCGTGGGATATCCTATGTTACACCACTCGAAAGCGTTACATAACCAGTAGTATTTCATTGTCAAATTAATTAACAGATGTATGTAGCAAGCTTTAAACGCCCATCGTTTGGAACGGTTCACGATGACTGGGTGTTCAAAGTGCGTGTTCATTCTTGTTATGATCAGTTTCTGTTTCTTGGTCGGCTATACTGATTTAAAATATGAAAACCGTCAGCAAAGATCGCTCAGGTCGAGGCTGCCACGTCTGTCGAACAGACTGGCTACAACTTGAACGCGCGCAAAACGAAGGGAAAGAAATAACGGAACGCACAGAACGTACTTTGACGGCTGCCAACAGGACATTGACAATGTATTCATAAGTTTGCTATCGCTAAATTTGCCAAAAAAAACAAAAAACAAAAATGGCCCGGAGTTCTGCGACGTTTTGCGAGCATCCAGATGTTAGCAGCTTCGCAGAGATTATCAAAGCTGAATTAATCGGAAACGTTTGAAAATATATACATAACAGCCTAGGATCGCCTGAAAATAACGAAGAAAATGTTCAATACAATCGTAAAACTTGCATTTTTAACCATGGTGTACATGCCTTTTCTTCCTCCTTGGATATGTAATAAGCAAATTATCAAACATCGCGAGACTAATATCATTTTTGTAGCCTAGCTTCATTTCCACACAGCAATCAAAAAACTAGGTGGGAATCGCAAAAAGAAACAAAAATCTATGATACTTAGCAGGTAACGATTAAAAAACCGTGAACTAAGTACATTGTATACGCACGTTTCCACTGCAAACATGCTTTCTTCTCACTTGTCCAATGTACAAGGGGATGGAAATTACTTGTCCATGGACAATTTAAAATGAGGCCTCATTAGCATACCTTGTCTGTTTCTTTGTATTTAATTGTACGGGTGTCCTTCGATACAATGATGTTAAAATTCGACGGAATTATTTTAGAGTATTTTGAAACCAAAGTGAGCTAAGAGAGGCTACGGACAGACGAAACATCTTTTGCCGCAATGTAACACAAGTGTCTAGTCTTTAGTGCTAATAATAACCCCTTCTTTAGGGCAGGCACTTACTAGTTAGAAAAAAAAAAAAACTTCCTATTTAGTCAAAAATTTTGCAATAGTCAAACCTTTATCGCTGCAACTTGACGAAAGTCCGCATTCCGAAAGTATAATGATTCCCCAAAAAAGAAATTCTGTCAGCCTTTTCATCTTTGGATCTGGCATATCGTCTTTCATGTCGCGAAGAGGCCGGGCAGATTCATTTTGCTGATTTTAAGCCTCGCATACTGTGGGCAAACAAAATCGTTAGATTAGAAAATATTCCAGAGTGCAATAAACCCGTCGAGCAACTGACATTGTCACCGATTGTGATGAAACTTATTATAATTGTATTTCGAATCGCCAATCGGATCTCGTTGTCTTGTCTTGTTCCAAAGCATGAGTGAAATTGTTAATTAACAAGTGTGTAGCCAATGAGATTCTAGCAATAGATAAACAGTGTAATCGCCTACGTCCACAGGAAGAAGGCTTCCTAAATATTTTCATTTTTCTTCGCGGAAAAAAATGCATCCCATTTCTGACGAACCGGCGCTTTGATCCGAAATCTCACATATACGGACCACCAGGACCACGAAAAGTTCTTTTTTTTAGATCTTAAAAAAAAGAAGAAGTGTTACGTTTAGCCTGTTTAATGAGGGGACGAAATCGTATCCAAGATGTAATTTATTACTATTTCCCTATATTTGCACAAACCCAAATAATTGAACACGTCTTCTGTTCAAATGGCATTGGAAGCCGCCTTTAAATCGCTGTCAACACGATTTTAATCCGCCAACGAATTTCTTAATTCCGAAATTGCAACCTAGCTTTTGTTCATTTCCTTTTCAAATATGAAATGTCCAAACATTGGCATCTGCCAAAATATTTGTAGTTTCCAACATTCAGGAAATGGACACAATGTTTCTGTATCTGAAATACGCAAAATACAAATTAGCATTTGCACGTGCGTGCAGTGTGAGTTAAGTTTGTGAGCGAAGAAAATAACGCTTTTTTTTGCGAATTTATAGTGTTCGTCATTGGAACTCTGCCATCGAATTATATTTTCCATTATATTTTCATTTTATCCTGGTTGACACGCCTAAATGATGTTACAAACAATTTTCGTCTTCTTTATTTCATGGATGTACAGTGTATAAATCTGTGTAGAAAGACAGAAAGGTTTTGCTGACTACGAATTAGGTTTAATTTAGAAATTGATTGGCAAAACACGGAGACCGGAAAATATAATACCGAGCGAAGCACCGTATCATTTCTAGAACAATTACGAACATATAGACTGATATGAAATGATATCGCGCCCGGACTTGTAACCCGGTCCATATAAACAAATCCACAAAAACTCGAGGTTGATTAATGAAATACTGCGTTTTGTTATTACGACCCCAAAAAGTTTGACAAATTTGTACGTGAATCATTTAGAAAATCGAAAGAAACGATAAAATTCGCGGGTAATGGAGACTCAGAAAGCATCAGAAAATACAATATTGTTGACTCGGCAAATGGGCCATGGATACGAAGTTATTTTCGTGTCTTTTTCGTGAAAGACGCTGACTAAAAGTTTGGTACGTTCGTTAAAGGTTGATTACGTCAAAACTTTGAGTGCATGCCCCTCAAGCAAGTAGTACAGACAGCAATGTTTTTTTCTTTTTTTTCCGTTATAAATTAACGCATGGCTCTTGGTCTCCCGATCGAGCGGCCCTGGTTCGAGCCCTGACTGGCCGGGTCATCGTGTTGTGGTCCTGGGCAAGACTCTATTCTCGCAATGCCCATCCCTACCCTACCCTGGGCTATGCTGGGAGGTAAGCCCCAAATTCCATTTAAGGTGGCTTAAAACAGTTTCGAGCACGTAGATTTTGATTGGTCGCTATAACCACTCTTTATCATTTGATGCTACTTTCATGACGGAATCAAAAAACTGCCCAATCTTTGATGAACACGTTGTTATCATTTTCGTGACATAATAGGTTGCCGTAGCGACCGTATGACCTGCAAGAAACACCCTTATAGTTTTGAAAATTTAAGGTGGCTCTCAACCATATGTACAGAATGGTTTTAAACTTTGCCAAAAGTTGAGACTTATCATGCTTATTAAAGCTTGATAACAAAAAAAAAAAAATTAACCGTGTCGTTTTTTAATTATAAGCCCCTAAAGCTGTAATTAAGGGTGTTTTTAGAAGGTCATACTGTTGCTATGATAACCTATTGTGTCACGAAAATGATAACGTTTTCACCAATGATTGGACAGTTTTTTGATACCATGATTGTAGCAGCTGAGATGTAGGCTACCACGATGGAAGCATCAACTGATAAAGAGTATTTATAGTGACTCATCATGATTTAAGTCTTGGAAAGTGCTGGAAACTGTATTAGCCACCTTAAATAGCAAGCGGTCAATCTATCAGCATAACCTTAGATCATGTCAATTTGGCCTGCTTTTCTTTTGGTCAGCAGCAGGACTACAAAATCTTGCGATTTCCAATGCGACAGTCCATTATCAATAGACTTAAATCTGATTAGATTACAACAGCCACTCAGTCTCAAAAAATAGAATTCGAAAGATCAGTCTGCACTCTTAGTGCATCAAATGATAAAGAGTGGTTATAAACGACCAATCAAAGTCTAAGTGCTGGAAACTGTTTTGAACCACCTTAATACATTTTAGGGTCTTGTTGCCTTCGAAATATCAATATTTCTGCATGTTAAACGAAATATGCGGCCGTAGACATAGTGTTTCCCAGTCCACTAGAAACCACGTGAGGAACATCATTTCTTCGCCATCAGAACACTATAAGCTTCGTAGATCACATCTCTTCATTGTTTAAAGCACTCCCTACTCACGTTTTTATATAAATTTTTAATTTTAAATCCACAACTTTTCGAGAGCCACCATTTAGGCTTAGGCCATTACAAATACTTTTTTTGTTTGTTTTGGTAATGAAACAAAATGAGAACAAGTTGGTCAGCGGGATAGAGGTCACGTCCACGCTACACCGGAGGAATTTTAAAAAGGAGGTTTCACTCTAAAAACGTATCAAATGTTTTCTGTCCACACTACGCCGGAGGAATATAAATACGCAACAATCACCGGTCATTTTGGATTTGTGTCTGAAAAAGACTCCGTTTTCGAAAAGCTCCGTTTTCAAAATGTTTTACGTCCAGACTATAACGAAAAGCCGGCGTTTTCGATTCCCCAGTTTGAAGAGCGTTTTGAAACACTTCGTTTCCGTCGCAGATTAGTGTAGACGGTAGGCCTAACCGTAGAAATAAAGCTGCGTTTTCAAATTTCTCCGGCATATTGTGGGCAGGGCCTAATTAATTAACTAGGTCGTGAAATGCGTCGAAATTGGCAAATGCTAATTCAATTTTTGCGTGCGTTCAGTTGACATCTAAAGGAATGAAATCAAACATCATGACGGCTTCACATTACGCTGATCAATTTAGCTATGAATATTTTATCGCTTAAAGCCCTGTAAGCGGAAAGCTCAGTTTTGTTTATTGGGAATTCCCCAACTAGCGCCTGTTTATAGGATAAGACTGTTTTAATTCCTAGGCGGAATAAGTCGCTGGAGATATTATTCGTTCAATTTAATTTGCAATCACGTAGAGCAAAGTATTAAAATCAGATGTCCTTATCCGAAAATGTGCAACAGAAATAGTTTGTTCAGTTTATATTTTATTAACGGCATTTAACCATTCCTCTTTCTCCGCTGAGAAATTTTGGCAATTTAACAATAAAGTGAGTCATCGCTACATTTTCGAGATGTTAAGTTACCGTTCATAAATTAGATAAAATAGTCAGAAATAAATAAAATAGTAAATTTAGTGTAAAATTCGCTTGCAACACATTCTTAGATTTAATTTATGACTTCTGTAAACTGTGTCGGGCTCAAGACTACCTAGTCGACCAGTCCCTGAAAATTCATTGCCACCGGATTTTATTCCCATAAGCTGTTTACTAAAGGAAGCCGAATGCATCTGAGAGCAAATATGAAGGAAATTTATTTTTCACCTGTGCCTGCTAAAATCGATGTTTTGTTCTCCACTAAATGCATGCCTAAATCAGTATTTTTTTTTTCCGTTGTTTTTTCATATTCCATTAAGTTAAAAATCTACACGACTGTTTCTTGAATGCACCAAATACAGAGATATCGTTAGAGAATACTGCACCCAGCTGGATGACTCTTCTACACTAGTGCTTTTTAGTAACTGCTACAACCACGATTTTCCTACAATGTGTACACGTATATTGAAAAAAGTAAGACTGATCTTAACATAAACTGTTATTATAATTTTGTTATTTTTGACCCAATGGTCTTGCTCCATGAAACCTCTTTTAGCCTAGTGGTAAACGAGTCGAATTCAGTTCGGTCGGTGGACCGAAGATTGTGTTGAAAACTCCCGTTAGTTTTTAAGCGTTGTGTTCGCCGTGAATTAGATCTGTTCCGGACTCTGATCAATGCGGCAAAGCCATGAGCCAGCAAATGAAATAGCTGTCCAAAATTTGCTGATTTGTAAGTTTTGGTCTTTGCTGTAACGTATGTAGTTATTGTTAAGATTTCTGCAGGAACCAGTTACTCTTAATCGGATAAGCAGAATTCACGCAAATACTGTTTGAAAAATCAGCTTATTGTTGCTTACCTTGGATTTGACTTTCAGGCTACTGAATATATAGCAAGCGAGGCACCTTGAACAGTTCCGCAATGACTCTGCCTTCTATGTTATTAAAAGATGAACATGCATCTAATCTGTAAAAAGCAGTGACATATTTAAAGGTGTTACCGCTATTTTGACATTTATTTCGGTGTCTTGGGAGCAGTCTATTTGTCTCTTTCAAATTAATTAACGCGTAGGCGAGGTTGAGCATTCATTTATTAGCTTTTTGAGACAACGGAACGTTTTGTTGTGTCAAACTCTTTTGGGTTAGATCAGGCAAGCTTTTAACTTAATTGGTATTTAAATAAATTACAGTCTTTATAGACTCGAATAATTCTAAATTGATTCAGTTTAAATTTCAGATTAAGTTCAATTTTCAGATTGACCTTGAGCTTTGGGGATTTCCCGATAGAGTTAAAAAATTTCTTGAAAGCTCGATTGATAAATAAGGAATTTTTCTATTTTTAAGGAAATTTGTGAAATGAAGCGATGTTTGCCCATTTTGCCTTTACCAAGTTCGTTTAGAAGCCTTGCAGTGTCGGAAATGACTTCACACATGTCTCCGATTGACCAAGATGGACTCTTTTGTCTCAGCCATAATTAATCAAAGGCTCAACATCAAATAAAAGGACATCACCTTGTTAACAAGGTCGAAATTCAAAATTCTGGGCTGGGTCAACCAAAATGCCCTTTACGGAGGGGTACAGAAGAAACTTCTTGGAGTATTTTTGGTAAAGTTGTACTGCTCAGTTCTTCAAATCCTAACCAAATTTCAGGCCAAAACTACCTTCCTTTTCAACGTATCCTTTGCAATCCTGATCGTAAGCGTATGTGAAATTCAACAAAGCAATTTCAAATTGAAACCAAGAAAGTGAAATTGTGCTATGACCCAGACGCAGCGGAATGTGTAAGGGTATGTCCACCCTCCCCCATCCCCTTGGAAATGAATAAAACAAGTACGCTTAAAAGGCAATTTTTCTTTCCGAAATGCAGTACGAAAAAAAAAAATCCCTTTCCTGGTTTTGTTTGCTCAGAATGATCAATGACACCCGACATCTTAGATTTAATTAAGTATAGTAAAATAAACCTTGGCAGCCTAAATTAACATACAATCATCTAAAATTAATGGCGGTTCGTTGAAAGCAAAGCGAATCTGAACAAGCCAAGTAAACGGGCGGTTGAGACATTTTATCTTCGCGCAATTTCTTGCATCAATGAACCGCAAACGAATTGATTCCGGAGTAGAAGTTTATTTTGTTTTATCATTTTGTGATTCACCGTCCACGGTCCTTTATCACAATAGGAATTTATTTAAGTTAATTTGGTGATAATAACTTCAAGTGTAAAATCGTTTAGTCTTCATTCTCAGCAATCGAGAAAAGAACCGATGGTTTCATCTTTGTATGTTTATTATTATTTTTTTTTTAATTTCAATTTTTGTTTGGAGTGAGCGAAAGGAGGAGCGTAATTTTCAACATATGGTAGCATTATCAATCGCTTCCAGTTTGTTAAATGAAGTCATGCGTTTTATAACCTAGACAGAAATGACACGTGGCAAGAAACACTACTGAAGAGAAAAAAATATACTAATTAATAAGGAATTTTCCACTTGTGTTTCTATAACTCAATAGAAACCCGGGAAACACTTTTTTCTATTTTTTAAACAATGGAATAGGTTACTACATCCAGCAGCCGCTATCCGTAGGGGCATGGTAACCTGTTCGTCCGCAGATAATGTTACCATGGCGTGGATTTTTTTTTTTTCGTGGAGGATGAAAATGCTCGCAGCGCCTTTCGGGTCGTTCCACGTGAACAAACTGCTTCACATGGTCGGCTACTGGTAAACCATACTGGGATTTCGAGACACCGGGAGTGATCTTAAAATAACTTGCATTGAGAGGGATTGCCTTGAGAAAAAGGCCTGTATGGTGGATTAGCTCTTTTTCACTTCATCTTCTCCAGCTTATACGAGTGCTACCCAACGATAACTCATCGCTGATATTTGTTATTATTGTATGGCTCTGTCTCACAAGGCCTGGGAACTGCATGCCGAATTCAAGAATTTGATTGGCATAAATCGATATTGAAAGCGGTCTAGATTTTCCTATCTAGATCGGTAACGTTTTGCAGTGAAAAAGTTGTAAACTGAAATATAAAATCATTGACTACTTTCATCTAACAATAAATATTTACGGAAGTGCCAAAGAGCCTGATGAGAAAAAAAGTTAAGAGGACGAGCAAAATTTGGCAGAATTAGGGGCTTATAATTCAAAAACGGCACGGCGAATTTTTTTTATGTTATCAACTTTTGATAAACATAATAAGACGCAACTTTTGGCAAAGTTTAAAAAAAAATCTGTAGGTAGGGTTCAGAGCCACCTTAAATTTTCCAAAATTTTATTGGCCCTAGGCTTAAACACATGTTTGAACGTGAAGAGCGACGTGAAGTAGCGCATGAAGCCAATCTACTGGTAACATTGCTACAAAACAAAGCACAACCATGTTTCCACGGATAACATTCCACTTGCATTGTCTTCAGTATCGTTAACAAAACTGTCCAGCTATGTAAGCAGTTTAACCAGTTCCGGTGTTTATCATGAACTTAGACAACCTGGAAGAAACAAGCTGAGGTGCCTCTGCCATGCATTGCATTGTCTGTGTGTATGAACATCTTGCTGCGTATAATTAGTAACTTCTTGAAGCGAGGCTTAACTGTTTAAGAAGAAAATTCGAAATAAACACATTGAAATGAAAGCTTTTTATTACATTACATCACTCATGATCAGCTACAACGAAATCTTTTTTTCAAATTCTTGTCTGGTCTATAAGAGATCTTGTTTTGCAAAGACAGTGTACTGCACTCGAAGGAATATGAAAGCTTCTTATCCTGTACGGCCGAATTTATTTAACTTGGCTGGCTTTTTTCTTTATTACCCCTAGAAATAAAACATGTAAAAAACAAACAAACAAAACAAGTGAGAGGTAAAACTAATTTCAGAAGGGATGGGGTTACCAAGAGAAATTCAGTGGCTGTTTATTACACTAATTAAATCCCGTTCCCCTGACCTTAACGGGGCCGCTCGAAGTACCGCACATGCGTGCGCTTTACCTACGTCATTAATACTGCGTGACATACCCATAATCTCCAAAAAGGTGTTGTGCGGAATGGCTAAAAAAAGATAACCCTGCTTTGTATCGGTCTCTGCTTTTATATTCTTCATTTTTTTTTTTTTTTTTTGTGATAAGCCGATTAGATCACTACTGATCCAATGTATAGCAGCAAAATCATCGTCCACGGTTGCTTACTTAAAGGGACACTGTCACCATTTTTAGCATGATTCTGGAAATCTCAAAAGCATATATTGATCATTGGAAGCTGAACAATAATGGCTTTATTTTGTAGAGCAGTACTCGACAAATGATTAAAACCCATTAAGAAGTGAGGATGGCTAACGATAGCGAGGATGGAAACGGATTGCAATGTGGATTTTTGAAAAAGCGTCAGGATGTAAGTTTTTCAAAGGTTCAATTCTGGCTCGAAAATCGTTGAAAGAATGCACAAATGTAACAGTTGCTGAAGTGTAGACTTTCTTCAAGAAATTGCTTTTAATCATTTAGTTAGAGCTAATTAAGTTCTTATTGCATAAATTTAGGGACCATTCCGTGAATTTATAACAGTTTTAGGCAAATGTATCGTGACAGTGTCCCTTTAAGCCTCTTTTATTATATTACAAGCTCCGTCAGCGGGCAAGATGGACCAAATCCATTGGCTAGCTGGACAGGCAAAATGGCGCTATCTTGCCCGCATGGGACTACTCGCCATGTCCCGCAAGAAAAGTTTCCCAGAAAGCCATGTGATAAATCCTTTATTGGGAATAGGTCCTGATGGGCTGTATATTGGCCTCGTTCTATTTTTTTTTTTTTTTTTTTTTTTTTTGATATTTTGCAGTTTCTTCCGCGATCCGCAAAAACAAGCTCCCGCCAAAATTTACTCGACTGGCGAAATTATACAAACAAAAATCACAAGTGGAATTTTGTTTGCCTGTGTCGTATATGGGAGGTCGTATATTTTTAAAAGTCACTTTCGTTCGGAAACAAAGCGACGAAATAAAAACAAATCGTTCAGGAATAAAGCGATGAAATTGCCCTCGGTACATCACATGTGCGATTAAGTATCAAGTGGCACCATAGTTATTGCTGATTCATCACGGCAGGAGCAGTCAGTCACACTTGGGGCAGATGTAATTGTAATAGAGTGACACTGATTACCGTGTTTTAGGCCCCGTCTACACTACAACAGAGAAATATGAAACGGCGTTTTCACTCTGAAAACGCATCAAATGTTTTCCGTCCACACTACATCGGAAAGCTTGAAAACACAACAATCACCGGCCATCTTGGATTTGTGTTTGAAGAAAACTCGGGCAGGCAAATTACATTATTATCAAGACGTCATCGATTTCGAAAAGCTCCGTTTNTTTTTTTTTTTTTTTTTTTTTTTTTTTTTTTTTTTTTTTTTTTTTTTTTTTTTTTTTTTTTTTTTTTTTTTTTTTTTTTTTTTTTTTTTTTTTGCGTGTTTATGAACCGAGATAGAGTCGAAGTCTATAAACACGCAAAAAAAGACCTCGACCAATTTTCAGCCATCTTGACCTCACGCTTGGTCAATAACCCATACATACACGCACCATTCTAATTATAATGTGCTTCTCAGTGAAGGTCGTTTAAGAAAGGTGCCGGAATTTACCTCTATTTCGTAAACGAAGTTAGAAAGCTTTCCGCCCACTGGTTCAACGCAGTCGTATCCCCTCTTGGGATCGTAAGGTTTATAACCGTTCCCCGAGCACAAGCAGTTGTCTGCCGTTCCATGGATCTCGAAGTTATTGCACGCATCGTTGCCAGACCAACATTCGCCGTAGAACTGAATTCCGAAGCATTTGTATTTCTGGAAATGAAAAAAAAAAGGTGATTTAACACAGAGGAATCTAGGGCAGAGAGCAAGGCTCCTTGTAAAAACTTCATTTTGTTTGTTTTAACAGTGTTTGACGGCGCATGCATGTTTGAGAATAGAGGGCATTACAGCGCTGGCAAATTACAGCTACAAAGCAAAATAAAGTTTAGTCTTTTGAGACTAAATTTTATTTTGTTTCTAGATCTGAAATGAACTTGAGAGGAATATGATTACTATCTACCATCTGTTGAGAGATCTCACCTTTTTCTCGGCCAGTTCTTGGCACTTTTCAATGACAGTACCACCCAAATCTCCCCAGTTTAATTCATCTCCTCTGTAACTATGGAGTAATTCTGGCAAAGCCCTGTTATTTCTCACGTCTTTGAAGCATCCCATTGCAGTAATTCTACCACCTTCGAATTCAAAATGTTGGAAATTACCTCACACAAATCAAAACTTTAATAAAGGAAAGGATAGACCAGCCCAAATTCAAGATCTTAGTACTTTTGATCAGCTCTGCCTAACGACTCAGTTATAGTTTGAAAGTCTGCAGAGAAGACATTTTGACGCTTCAACAGCCCGGGACTAGCTGTTACCATAACTGGCGTAAAATTGCATGAATTTGATATTTCCAGCTACCAACCTTCCACGCGATGTAACATAAGGAACGCAGCTGAAAGAATCAGGAGCGAGTTTGTCTGGAACAGCCACATACTTGTAAAGAAAACTCCAGCCTGCAAAAAAGAAAATTAGTCTCATGCTTTTTATATTATCCAGTCACTAAGTGGCAAGGGTTCGGAAAGGGAGCACTGGGTTGAAAAATTTAACTCACAATTTAAATTACAGAGATGAGTGGACAAAATTAGGACAGTGCATGTGAAAAAATGCGAGAAAACGCATCGAGACCTGTAACTCCGGTGTGGTCATGTAATCTGCTATGGCTACAAAGGAGAAGTTAAGAGGAGCTCAGTCAAGGTATTTTGAGTTATTTTGTCCACTTAAAAAATTACCTTTATATTGAAGGAAACCTGAAAATAGTGGTATACTAAGATAGAAAAACACCAAAGAGATAATTATAACCATAAAAGAACAAAGGTGGTCAAGGATGGAGAAGATTAACACAGATGACGCATTATACAAACGACGCACTTGTCTAGACTTTTCAAGATGCGCAACTGTGCCATAGCTCCTAAAGACAACCCGTAAATCGCATAAAATAAGTTTGTCCTGAGATACTTTAACTGTTGCTTTACGCCATAATAAAAAACGTAGCCTCACGAATATTGACATTTAATTCAAGTCATAACTATAATAAAAAATTTGCCACTATGGTTTAGCAATATTCGGAAGTTTAACGTCACAAAGCATCGAATTCTGCTCGAACTAGCCAATCTGACAAAACAGAGAGATCACGAACTGCTAAATGAAGAATGCGTTAGAAGGTGGATAATTTCAAATAGATAAAAATTTCCAGAACCGAGTCCGTATGTTTAAAGGAAAAAAGTCTAATCTTGAACCAAATTCTACTGCAAAAACTATTGAAAATATCTGAAGAATTACGAGATATTTTGAAGATTGGCTGGGTTGCAACGCAACTTCTGTCGCTAGAATCGTGGCCATTTTGTTACGCCGTGTTGTTCGACTCACTTATTAAATAAATTCTGCACTTCAGCATTGAAACTGAAAAAACTGTATTATAGTTCATCCACAGAAATACATTTTTTTCATACCTTAGCTCGGCCGGTCGCCGACAAGTGTGAGGCTTCAGACCATACATATAACTGGATTTAAGCGACTAAAACAACCTTCTCTTATAACGTGTTGTCCTAGATAAGACGTGTATTGACTGACTAGCACAGAAAATAAATTTAAGCGGGCAAAGAAAATGTTGAATGAGAACAAAGCGATAAAACGAGGAAATTAAAACTTACCAGAGGGACAAAGATAAACGTTTTGTTAAAAAGCGTGGATGTTGAACAACAGAATTTCAATCAACTGAGGAAAAGCTTACACGGCGAGGTTAGCTGTTAAAATTACATACCCCAAAAGTAAATAGCTGCTGTCATTTTCAATTAAGCGTGACATGATAGAGTGGGTGTAAAAATGGTACGATTTCTGGCGTCCTAAAGAAGGATGCGCAATTAAATTTGACAACAGATGGGATTAATTTAATTGGGGTGGTTTCAAGAGAGGGAATGTGTACTTTTCAAACGGAACTCAAACAATTTTATTGTCAAAAGTTATTTTAAGCCTTAAACTGGAGGGTTCCTCCTTGAAGCTGCGGAAACTAAGAAAGGAAACAAGAAAGACAGTGATTTTAAGTCTAAAAGATCCAGCTAGTGTTTCGCGAAAAAAACAAAGGCCAAAAAAAAAAAAAAAAAAAAAAAATTACAGGGATTCTTGGTAAAGCTTTCGGAAGATAATCTCCTTATTGGCTAGTGACCCGTAAGGCTGACAAGTGAAAAAGACAGAAAATTGATCAGACTCAATTAAAAGGAAACCGTACGTCCTCTTTGCTGATAAGTTTCATTTCCTAAAGTTTCTCTTGGACAGCCATCTAATTAAAAACTGTTGTTAATATCTAAAACAGTTGCTGACTGCGATGAGGAATATCAGCCTGTTTCATGCACAATCTCAGTAGTTTTGGTGACATTTCTCATCAGGCCTTTAGAAAGCTATAGATCAGCCCTGCCCTGAATCAGAGCGGGAACTGCCCGGTAGCAAGGGGCGCGATATCAGTACGAATTTAAGGAATTCCTTGCACATTTATTGACCAACCGTTTAACGAGAAGCTTTCATCAATTTTCAAGGCATGACACCCCAGCATAATGAATTTTTAATCCCAGTCGTTATAGCAGTTGTGTAATTGAATTTTGTTTAATCTGGGGACTTGGCACTCAACGAAAAACCCTACCTCGTCAAGCTCAGTATTGTCTAGTGGAAGACGGAAAGGGAAATACTTTGAGCTTTAGTTACACGTTACTATCATGTATTTTAATATTTGAAATCTTGATTTCATTAGATAAAGAAAATGATGCTACAAGAACTACGTTTAGGCCAATCTCTATTATTCCACTAACTCCACTGGTTCATGGCCCATAATGACAACCCTGTGGTTGGGATGCTAGTCTATTACGCACACCACCCCCCCCCCCCCCCCCCTTACCCCATTACTCCTTCTGACTTCTTATTACTTTCAAAAGATATTGGCTGGTGGAGAGGGCAAGCTTGTTATGGGGAGCTGGTTCTCATTCCATGAGAAAAAGGGACAATAAAAAGTAATTCTGTTGTTGTTGCTGGCGAATAGTCGTGGCTTAACACATTTCAAGAGGGTAGGTGACTGAATTATTCTGAAAAGAGTTTTAAAAAGAAGCTCGAAGCTCGAAAGCTCGAAAGGTGTACGTTATTTAGTAGAAAGGAGCTGCATTTTGTGTCGGCTCCGTAAATCGCGATCGCCTTTTTAAAAAAACGTTACAATCGCCATCTGTGAAGATAAGCCTGGTTTTCACTTTGACATAAGGAAAAGCACAAGCATTAAAATATTTAACAGTAGTGAGGTCGCCCACAACGCAAGCCCAAAACATTTTGTTCTTCTTATGCTTTTGCTTATGTCAAGTGAGGTCCCGCTTCTGTTAGCATAAGCATTTGCCCGCCATCTTGCTTTACTGTATCGAGACGGTATGGAACCGAATATAAGGCAATTATTTGTTCTGCGCATGCGTGTGTGCTTGTGCTTGAGTTGTGGACGTTCTTGCTACCGTTATGCTCATGCTTGTACTTGTGTTTATGTCGTAGTGAAAGCCTAAGTATAAGACTAGTCTCCAAAAAAATAAATAAATAAACATAAATGACAAATTAACACAAAGGATAAATGAATTAGGGACCACTAAAGACGAAACTCAGTTGCATTCTGCGCCTGTACGAGCCGGATCGATAACATTTGCTATTGAAAGGAAAATCAATGTAAACACTTGTAAAACTCCACGGGATATGGTCATGTGATGGCAAATTCGTGGCACTACGAGTAAGGAAACACGAAGTGTTCAAACAAAGAAAAATCGAAAAGAAAATACCACATTCTAGTTTTAAACTTTAGACTAAGCAAAGGCCTTGGAAAGAACGGAGCAAGGAGCTTTTACAGTTTTAATTAATTTAATTAATTGATTAATAACGCTAGATTTTTTTATTGTTAGACATAGGTTTTTCGCTGCGCGTTACTGTCTCAAAAGTTTCCTAAATGTTTACTGATGATGCCTTGTACTTAAACCGCATCACTAAGGACTGCAAGATAGTCTCGAGGAATCTGGGTAAAGACAGACCAGACGTTAAAAAAAAAAAAGGAAAAAGAAAGAAAGAAAGAAAGAAAGAAAGAAAGAAAGAAAGAAAGAAAGAAAGAAAGAAAGAAAATCAGTGCCGACATGCCTTCACTTTGTTAAAATTTACTATTGTCGATAGTATGACTACAATACGACTAAACACGGAGAATGGAAATCTTTGTTTCCTTGCTTTGTATTCGAGCGTAATATTTAAATGAATTTGATGTTTTTGAACAAACAAAGGTACTTCTCAAAGAAAAGAAAGTGGGGCATTTGGTGTCCACAGCAACTTGGCGTCTGGTGTAAATCATAACTCCCACGTTTATCCGCAATTTTGGAAATTGTTGCTCCGTAATTATTATCAACAATCATGATTTGTGGGCGTTAAACCTTCTACAGATATTAAATCGTCTTACAGCTTACTTCTTATTTTGAAATGTGTGAACTCTTACAATTAACGGTCGCATCTGTTTGTAGGTAGATCAGTCTTAAGAAATTTGTCCAGATATTTCTTACACAGTTATTCTTTCATCTCAGGCGAAAAAAGCCCAATTAAATATATGACCTACCTTAGGAAAAAAATTATCTAGTTATTCCTATTCACGTCTCGCGTTCTCCTCGTGTCGCTGATTAGCTAACAAGACTGACAATGGCACGTTGTTACAAAGGTCTCTTCCTAGGAACAAACAAAGCTGAAAAAACTCTTCTGAAAAAAGAAACCTTAACAAATTGTCAATGTGCCCACAGACGTCGTAAGCGGTGATGTGCAAAGTCAACAACAATTGTTGTAGACTTTAGTGTGTATAGGCCTCAATCGATGGAAGTTGGGGAAAGGGGGGGGGGGCGACTTATTATTATTATCTTTCTTATAAACGATTTTTCAAATGAACAGGAGATAATTAAAACTGTTGAACATGGAACAAACATATCTTTAGAATCGATATACAAGGATGCTTTAAAGAAAAAAATACAAACACCATCAAAATGCAAACAAAACTTTGGAGAAAAATGGTAAGCCACTAAAACAGCACTTGACAGAGTTCCTCCCACCNCCCCCCCCCCTCCCGAACTCGCAACCCTTTCAGTCGCTTGAGTACGTGGACTGCGTGAGTTCACTTGACTTAAATGTAAATTCATTAAACAAACTCGGTTGCCAATGGGACCATCACATGGACTATACTATTATTCAGTTACTGAGTGTCAAATTCACTTTGTCACAGGATCGTGTCTCTTAGCAACACTGGATGGCTATCGATAAGGAATTATCTTAATTAGAAAAAAGTTTGTGAATGATGTAATCATAACCTGTTTTCAGTTGCCAGCTCTTTAGTTTCTATAAATTAACGCGATGTTACTGCTGAGTAGACTATTTAACGAGTTTACGCGCATCCGCAAGCAAGTTCGCGACCTTAGGATTTACAAGGTATTTATACATGTGGCTCGAGTTTTTATGGCCTTTGTTATTGTTGTAACAATAGAATCTGATATACAGAGCGATTTTCAATCGAGTGTTCGAAAACTAAGCACAAACCAATTACTTACCAATTAGACTACTGAACCAATCTCAAACCGTGGTATAACCAAAACCCAACTGAATTGCCCGAATACTTTCGACAGTCAATTGAAAACCTCTCAATAGCGGTTTCAACTGAGTGTAGTAAAACCAGAACCAAAGTAATCTTTGTAGCCAATCACAAAGAACACAGACAATCCAGTGAACCAATCAAAGTTCGAAGCAAATGCATGAAGCTGACGCGAAGCGTGGGGAAAACGTGCGCGGGGGAGTTACAGTTGGTTTTGGTTTTGGCGCAAGTTTTTTTTTTTTTTTTTTTTTTTTTTCAGTCGATCGCTAAGTTAGCAATGCAAAACCAAAGCAATGCAAATTATTTTCGACACCCAAGTGAAAATTGCTCTAATTGGCGCCGTTTTCATTTGAGTGAGCTACTTGAGTGTCTCGCGCCACTTTTTCATCCAATCAGAAGTAAACCAAACCAATCGTAACTCGCTCGCAGTCGTTTTCCTACGCTTTGCGTCAACTACATGTAATTACTTCGAGTTTTGATTGGCTCACTGGACTGCCTGTGTCCTTTTGTCAATCAATCAATCAATCAATCAATCAAAAACTTTATTTTACTTCGAATTTTCTGATAGCAAAAACATGCTAATAATAGAAAATTAATTGATAAAGTGAAAACCTAAGAAATACGCAATAGATAAATTCATCAAAATTGGTTAACAAATGTGATTGGTTAGAGTGATTACTTTGATTTTGGTTTTAAGACAGCTCTTTATATATTTGGTTTTCGTATCTAGTTTTAATTTACAGTTAAAATATCATGCAAGACCAATCATGCAGTGGAGTATGGGTTAAGGACAACAAATGACTTCAAAAGGAGCTATTACATTTAGCTAACTCCATACAAATGAGGGTCCCCAATAGGTTTGGCTGGATGCGGGATTTGGCTTCTTTTCGCCATGATATTCGGGATTTGAGCTGAAAACAGGGGCGGGAAGCGGCAATTACAATTACGAGCGGGAGCGGGATTTCTTGTTTTTATGGGGTTGGGATGCGGGATTCGCAAAGGGAACAAAGCGGGATATAGGATTTCAATTCTTACCTGGCCTCATAATATTGACCAGCTAGCGCAAAAACCGCAAGCTGGCAGAAATGAACCTTTTGTGCGTATAGCTTTGTCAGGTTTCAAATAATGTATAGCAACGGCTCTGTACACTGTCAGGTTCTGTCAAACGCATCCATTATCGCTTGACTAAGCTAGTATCATGAGACTGTATGAAGTCTTTGAGTCCTACTGCGATCCTCTGACATCAATGACATCTGTCCATTTCCAACATCTTCGACGCTTGCGTATGTAGTCTCGAACCCCCGATCCTTTCTAGTTTTTCTAGTCTTTCGACCTTTTCTAGAGTGCTTGTCTTGTTTTGGCCAGGATGGCCACATTGGATGGCGGTGATAGTGATTCACCAAACGAAGTATGAGGCGTTATAAATCGCGTCGCCATATATTACGAAAAGGATGTGCGAGCGAAAATGCCTTCAATCGGAAAGAAAAGCTTTGAAAGAAACTGTCAAGTGTGTTTACGGGCCATATCTTGAATATGGGAATGAAAAATCTTTTTCTTTCACTGATACTTCAACAAAACAAAACAAAACAGTAAACAGTTTACAGAAAGAAACGCTATAATCATTTGTGCTTACTTATCTGCTACCCATTGGATCCGTTAGTGATCTTTTATGCGATATCTATTTTTAAAAAAGTTTCTGTGTTAATTATTAAATTAATTATTAATTCAAAAAACTAATAATTTAACGCAGAAACGTGAAAAGTAGGCGGGATCGGGATTTCCAGGCAAAAAAGGGCGGGATGGCGGGATTAAGAGGGAAAAATGGGCGGGAAAGCGTGATCTGAGAACCCTATTGCGGACCCTCACAAATCGCTATGATTTTAGTTTTCGACAGTGAGCCTGAATGTCCAGTATCGATAGCGCCTGTTCGGTTAGTGCGTTGTCGCATTTCGAACAGCTTTGAATTCCAAATTTGTTTATGTCTTTAGGCTTAAAAATGTAACCATTTTTCTCCAACTGCCGTCGTATTTGTCAGTCACGGGACCCCTCCGGATATTTAGCCCGAGACAAAGCTGGAAACTAGTTAGCTGTGACGCATGCGCAGTAAACTCATGACAAGTACAAAATGGACGGCAACAAAGATGAGGCAGCAAAATGCCGTCAACTTGCCGATAGATTTCTCAAGGAAGGAAACAAAGATAGAGCTTTGAAATTCCTTGAGAAGTCACAGAAGCTTTATCCATCGAAAGAAGTCGAAGGTAGGTGAAAATCTTGTGTTTTTTTCGAATCAGAGCCGTTTGAAGTGACCCGCTATGCGATGTCGTAACCGGCAAATATATTTAACTATTTCAGTTTACCTTCTGTCTACTCGTCTTAAAAATTTTCTACATTACTTCACGAGAGCGTAACCATGTTAAATTGTCATGTTTATAATACGGAGATTTAGTGCGATCTTTAAGGTTATTTTTCTTACTAACCCGGAACCTAATCTGCAAGTTCTTAATTTATTCGCCAGTGCCGAATTGAAACACGAATTCTCGACAGCTGCAGGTCACATGTGTGGGTCCGAGTCCTGAAAATGTTGTTAAATCATACACAGAATGATACCGTGTACACATTCTTACCTTCAGCGAGAATGTCAATATGATCTTTGAGATTTTTTTAGACTCTGAAAAGCTATTCACGAGAAGCGAAATTATTATATTAAGTTTACGTGCAAGCTTGTTTTAATTTGTCGTGGCATCAAATTTAGAACTCAAATTATTATCACGATTCCTGTGTCCTGAGACCTCTGCGTTGCATTCTCACCCAGTATATTTACATAACTTTTTACACGACTTAAGACATTGATTGAAAAATACTAGTAGGCTTGACGTTTTTTAGTTATTTTTACTTATCAACCTACATGTGAGGTCAATTGTAATAAAACCAGTTGATTGTACTTGTACATGTATAAAGGTAAAGGTAAAGTCTGCATACAAGCCAACTGGCTGATAGGGCCGGAGCTTATCCTGGCTTCTGTCGCATAAAGCGACTAGGGGAATTTCAACCCCCCCCCCCCCCCCCCCCCNGGATGCTAGTCCATCTCAGGGTTACCCCAGCATCAAGTTTGCTGGTACTCATTTATAAACGTGGGTGGAGAGAGGCACTGTGAGAGTTATGTGTCTTGCCCAAGAACATAATACAGTGTCCCTGGCAAGGGCTCGCACCCGGACCATTCCATCCAGGGACAAACGCACTAACCATGAGGCCATCGTGCATTTACAGTACTAGCACTAATGGCTGTATCGGGTAGTGAAAAGAAAGCAGGGATGATTGATGCCAATCTTTTGTCAGAAGGCAACAAGGTTTTTACCCTATCAAAGATTAAAAATGCCTTCAACTGCTGAATTACCTCATTGTAACTACAGCAGTAAAAAGAATTGCTAAACCATGCTTGGCAACTGTTACAGCGACCAAATCTGCCTTTAGCCAGTGGACAGGTAATCTATTAAAGTTAGTCTTGAGCCCTGCTTCATTTTGTACATGTAACCAAGTTGTTTATAGTGGTCTGTGCTCATTTTCCAGATTTAATTGAGACACTAAAAAAGAATGGCATGTCAGGTGGCAGTGAACATAATGAAAAAGATGAGAATGTGAGGCATAGATCAGTCAATGGAGATGCCAGCAAAAAGAGTGATGATTACACTCTAGAACAGCTGGAGGCAGTCAAAAAGTAGGTTTCAGTTGATATTTTATTACAACGTCATTGTATTTCACTACTGTCATTAACTACAGCTGTACATCGTAAAACTCTGGACAATGTTTGCAGATTTCTATCAAGGACATGAGTACAAGTCTTAATTATTTGTATTTTTGACTTTTCAAATTTTAGCATCAAGAAGTGTAAAGATTATTATGAAATCTTGGGAGTTAGTAAAGAGGCTACTGAAGCTGACTTGAAGAAACAGTACAAGAAGCTTGCTCTGCAGTTTCACCCAGATAAAAACAGAGCACCGGGAGCATCTGAAGCCTTCAAAGGTAATTGTGCAACAGTTTGCACTGTGTTGATACAAGAATAACTAAATCACACTGAATACTTACTGTAGCAGGGCCTGAAATTAACTTTTTTTGGCAGGCGCCAAATGGCAACTGAAATTTTTTTTTCTGTCGCCATATCGAAAAATGGGGTCGCCAAAAAGTGTCAAGAAAATTTTTCCTTCGAAGCAAAACACAAACCAAAACTTTTGGTTGCCACCGGCTTGCCGGCAAAATATGATTTGCAATCAATTTAATCAGGGATCAAACCAGTTTCTGAATCATCTTTTGACCACTTCGACAAATCTACATTTCCACCTTTTGACGCCCAGAGAATATCTAAATCTTCATCTAATTTGTTCACGGATGTTCTGTCTCCACTTTGTAATAAATTACAGAAAGATTTCAGAACATCTTTGGACACCATATCACCTGAATAAATATTCATGGGCAAAGAACGCATGGGACCTCTTGCGCCCGCAATATGTATGTTATGGGAAACCGCTGAAAAACATGGCGGCGAAGATTCGCACTGATCGTAGGTGTAAAACGTTGTGGTAGATTTATAATAACAGGAAAATCGGTTTTATACTTCAAAAGCAGCGGAAAGGTAAAAGGAAGTGACCAATTGGCGGGCGGCTTTGAATTTTATTTTAATCGATTTGGCTGAAAATCAAAGTTATTGTTTGTGCAATTATTGTGGCATGAAAGAGTTAATCGCCCACTGACGACCAGTTGTGAAATTCTGGTCGCCAGTGCAAAATTCTTAGTCGCATTGGCAACCAGGAAAGCGCAATTTCGGACCCTGTGTAGGCATGTTGAAAAGAAGTGTAGAAATCTCCCTCCCCCTTGGAATCAAGTCCGGTTGCATTGCATGTAACTGCATGTACTCATTTCAAGCAACAAAATAAACTGTTTCATTATCATGCAACATCTGGTTTTTCGTTGTTATACACAGCGATAGGCAATGCATTTGCAGTACTCTCGGACCCAGAGAAGAGACGGAGATATGATCAGTTTGGTGACGAAAATCCTCAGCCAAGGATTTACAGAGATCACTATGATTATGCAAGAGGATTTGAAGGTCAGTGGAACATTCCTGAAATCAGTGATATATCTTTTCTACATGTATATATGTGTGTACATTTACAGTGTGCAAATGTATAATTATAAATTATATCTAGAGCAGGTGGCAGTAAGATAAGTTTCAACTCACAAACTACATGCAGGGCTCAAAGAAAGTGCCATCCGGTCGTTGTGGACAGTCAAGTAGTTTTTCCTGCTGGGCAAGTGACTTTTCATTCTCACCTGCCCTATGGGCAAGGGCCCGGGCAAGTCATCTGTCAACTATAGCAAAAAAAAGTAAACTAAGACTTGCCCAGGGCAAGCAAAATTTGAGAGCTGCTTGTCCAAAGGGCACGTCAGAATTCATTTTTTTTTTTTTTTTTTAGCCCTGTACATATCAACAACAACAACAACTTTATTCGCTCTTGCACTTACGATTTATGTACATACTCACGATTTACTACATATGTACTTGCATGTGTTCATCACTGCTTTTCTCTTAACAACTGGTTCATGCTTTAGTGTTCATCATCAGCTTATGATGCATGTGGGAAGTTTGCAGAGCATGAAAGAAGCGTTTACTAAGAATTGCTTGAGGTGTAGGAACTTCCCAAGTACATGCATGTACATACATGTATAGCTGAAAGCATGAATCAATGGTTTAAAACTTTCGGAAATGTGAAGTGACTTTTACATTGGTCATGTCTCGAGCATGTAAGATTGTACATGTACATGTATTACGATGCATGCTTTATGTATACAGCACTTACATGTAGTTTGATAGAGCAGCTTCGCTGTAGACACATACCTACATGTATGCTAACTATGAAATTACTTGACTAACATTTTCAAAATGTTTTTCCTCCGAAGCTGACATTACTCCAGAGGAAATATTTAACATGTTCTTTGGTGGTTTTGGTGGAGCGTCAATGTCTGGGGGTAAGGAAATGAGGCTACTTTGTAAGCAATTATTGCAATCACATCTAGCAACAATACATTTGTACCTGCTGTTCAGAGAGACTGTAGAACATTTCACAAAGTAATAGACAATAAGGTAGTTTAGTTTAGTTTATTGTTACATGTATTTTTTGCCATATTATAAATATAATATCAATCCAAAAGGCAAGGAAGCCCAGGAAAGCCAAGAAGGCTTATGTAAAGGACTACCTTTAGAGACACCTAAGACGTAACAATTAATAAAAATGTTGCCATCGGCAGGAAAACAAATATGTATAAATATATATAGATATAATAGATGGCAAACTGATCAGCTGTGGATTTGGCTTGACATTTTATTGCTCTTTAGTTTTGTTCTACACAACTTGTGTGCAGCACTCATCAGCTAAAATTGCCAAATGCAAATTTGCATCGCTACACTGATTTGAGATACTGTACACATGCAGCTGTTCAAAGTGTCATTCTGTAGCTAGGATAAGTGAATGCTTTTACAAAACAATAGAAAGCTGTAAATTAAAGGTACATGTAAACTCAGTCACTATTGTGTGCAAGAGAAGCTTTAAAAGTTAACATTTTTTAGGAGGAATTTGTTTGTGTGGCTACATGAAGTTATCAGTTCATTCAATGGTAATAATCATGCTCTAGTTTACTATTGAGCACTCTGAAAACAGTTCTGCGAATCAACTCATTTAAATATGTAGATACATGTACATATATATCTCAACAAAAATGAAATAAGTTTACAGTTTACTATTGAGCACTCTGAAAACAGCTCTGCAAATCAACTCATTGAATATGTAGATACATGTACATATATATCTCAACAAAAATGAATGCAAAATTGTAGAAATTTTATTGGTTTTCACAGGGGGTAAGACCTTTTGAACTGTACTTCCCTTCAGGTGCAGCGTTATGGTTAATTTGCCTGGTGTCTGGCCCTTAATGAAACCCCTGGTACAGTACACTGTACATGTACCTTACAATGCACTTTATCACCAACATATGAAAAGATTTGAGCTGTACAGTTCTGTACAGTTATTTACAATGCTACATGTATTGATCAATGCTTTACTAAATCATACATTCTACATGTGCATTACAGGGCGTGTCTTTATGCAGAGAAGACACAATGGAAGACGGCACCGACACCAACACTACCGTGAAGAAGAAGACAATGATCCTGTGAGTAAAAAGCCTATCACATACAACTTCATAGTATTTACACATGTATGTTACTTTAAGTTATTACAGTGGCTACAAATATGCATTGTGTTAATAGCACTTTAAAGTTTTGCCTGTTATGCTTACAATATATGTATTTTCAAATTTATGTAAAACCCATGATCAGTGGTTAAAGTATTAAGCCACTGTATTAAGCCAGTGATTTTATTGACAGAGACAGTTGCACAGGTTGAGTCATGCATTTATCATTCTTAATCTTGTATGTCTACACCTTATTGCACGTGCACAGTTTTTGAAACAAAATACTTTCTAAGCATGTAACAAAGTTGCTCATGTACGTGAATTTTGTGCTAGTTTAAAATAATAATAATAATAATATATCATTAACTTTATTGAGTACTTTTTCAATATAATAATATAATTAATAATAATATAAAAATGTAATAATAATCTTAATAATTATTATAATAATGTAAAAACTTTATTAGAATCTCCTCAGAAAACCTATTTACTAATCTTCACACATTCCACTGTTGAAGACTAAAATTTTGATGAGAATAAAAATATCATGAGATCCTAAAATACTAATTCACAAGCTGATGCCATCATTGACTTTCTAAAATTAGTGGACACACGCCCGGTTAGTGTTTAAACGGCAGACTTTCATTATTATCATAATATGGTAACAATAATAATAATGATAATAAGAGAAAAAAAACTATTCATATACTAAAGTTTTGATAATAATAATACATGTATATACTTTTAATAATAATAATAATAATAATAATAATGATAATAATGATAATAAGATCTGCACTAATCTGCCTAAGAGGTTCAAGAGCTAGAAGGAAACCCTTTTGTGACTTTAAGAACATTGATATTGACGTTGAAACCCAGGAGGGCGCCATTATGTAAACACTGTTCAAATAGGTTTTAATAGTTTATTTCTTTTATTTACCTTTACCTTGTAATATACCGATATTGACGTTGAAACCCAGGAGGGAGCCATTATGTAAACACTGTTGAAATAGGTTTTAATAGTTTATTTCTTTTACTTACTTTTACCTTGTATATACCAATTTGTATGGAATATGTTAATTAATGTTATGATGATGATAGTAGTATCAGTATTAGTTGTAGTAACCATGATATCATGATTAGATACGGAAACATGTTTTACAGGTTTAACAGACATCAAATTATGTAAATATTACAGCATTTTGTAAAGCTTAGCTCTAGTTTTTGTCACAATAAACACTCCTCTTTTTTTTAAATAATAATAATAATAATAATAATAATAATAATAATAATATATTTTTGATAATAATAACAATGATGTTATTTAACCAGGGAGCTTACATCACCAAAGGTGTTATTCAGTTAGGCTCTGCCATAAAAAGAAAAATGTTAAATTTGAAATAGTTAAAAATAGTAAAAGTTAAAAAATACAATATTAAAATTTTAAATAAAATTACAGGATAATTTTACAGGATAATTACAGGATAGTTTGGCCCAGGGGCTTCATTAATGTTTTGAACAGCAGGAGGACAACTGGTGTTCACAGGCAGGCAATTTCTTTCTTTCTTTCTTTTTTTCTTTCTTTTTTTAAGAAAAGCGTTCCTCTACATGTAGGTGGTCAAACCAGGCAAGCAAAATCATCGTCACAGCCAGTCAATTTGCCTGATGTTTTGCCTGTACACAACAGTCAAAGTTTGCTATTGACAGATCTTTAAAAAAAATAGACCTCAGCAGAGGAAAGAAAATCAATAAATGGCATCTTGCTTTTGTGCTCATGAAGTTCTATATGACTACAGTAAGCACGTTGTGGAGCAACTTTTTTTTTCTTTTTCTTTCAGCCTCTGCTGCACTCACTGATACAGTTTCTTCCCATCTTACTGTTAGTTGTATTATCTTTGATGAGTAGCTTTATGTTACAAGATCCACCTTACTCTTTATCTAGATCAGGGTAAGTACATGTTAGTATTCTTATTGTTTTATGCTATTTAAATTGTATACATGTGCTGTAATCATTTTGAAACAACTGAAATGTATAAAGTTAACAAAACAAAACCAAAAAGAAACAAAAGACTAATATACATGCATGCATGGATGTTATTTTATAACTAAAAGAGGTCATACATGCATGCGTTACTAACATGGCAGATTTATCTTGCAGTTCCTACTATATTCCGAGGGAAACAGCTCGGCGGAAAATTAACTACTATGTACAGGTACTGTAAACTGATTTATCAGCATATAAGTCAAGTATAAATTTTGAAAACATTTGTTAGGAACTGAACACACAGATCTTATCATCAACCATGAGGACCCTAATGGGCAAAGATTGTGTTTTCCAAAAAATATCCATACCCCTCCCATATAGAGTTTTTTTGGTCTTGACTCCCCCCTCCCCTCTATTCATCCCTCTGGAAATTTTAGTTTTGTTCATACTTTCATTTAAAACCTTTCGCTTTTGAACCCCATTATCCCTCCCCCACCCCCGCCCCCCTCCCCCACTTGCTTCCCCTTTCCCTCTTAGAATTTCTAGTAGTCCTTTCTTCAGGTTGGTAGGCACATTTTCTACAACGACACATTTGCTTTATACATGCACCACTTGAATTGAGTCCAGTGAGGCCATTGCAGACAGTAATGAGGCCAATAACTCTCCCAGTGCAGTTCCAAGCACAGTTGTTTAACAAGAGATGACTGTGACCAAAAGATGACAACACTCAAAACTGAATATGAAGAATATCAAAGAAGTTGTGATTTCAGCCCATTAACCTTCTGTTGGGTCTTGTTATTACAGGAAGGATTCGAAGAAAAATACATAGATAAAATTGAAGCGCTCGAGAAAAGAATAGAAGAAGATTACATTGGTCGACTTCAATCTCAGTGTTATAGAGAAAGACAATACAGTGAGTACTTTATATTCTAATTCGCTGCCCCGCTGAACCGAATATAAAACATTTATCATGTAATGCATCAGTCAGTTCCAGCAGTGCCCATCCCCCCCCCCCCGGNCCCCCCCCCCCCCCGGCAACCGTGGGGCATTTGCTCAAATTGTCAGTCACAGGGGTGGGGCATCCGCAATTTTGTCGTGGCCCGGGGGCTGGGCATTTGCTTACCCCGGGGCGACCACCGGGCATTCGACACACGTGTTTTGGAAAGTGCCATGGATGAGTTCATCGGGAAAGAGGGGGCGTTTGTCGAACAATGGTTTGTCCGTCAGGGACTAGAGAAACTTGTTTTTCAAGTTATGTTTTCTCAATTTTAGATATTTCTTCATTACTTGTAAGCATATAAATATAAGCGACAAGGTGAACTATA